TTTTTTTGGAGAGGTTTTTTTGCTATAGGGTGTGTGCGCTCACCAGACAGACAGAGAGGGCCAGAGAGACAGAAAGCAAGAAATCATCCCCCCAGGGGGATGGTCACGCCGCAATCCCTTCTCTATTCTCTCGGGATCTTGGGCACACACACACACACACACATGCAGCCAGCGTGAGTTTTAAGCCACCGGGTCCAGGACGCAAACCGCGGTCAACTACATGGAAGTCCAGCGACATAGCCATTTCGCTAACTGCTGGTCCCCTCCCCAGTGTTCTTTGAACAAACATCAAATTCATTTTCCCTGACAGGAGAGAGCAGGTGTCATAACCTTTATTTCCAAGAGGGAAGACATAGGAGCAAAGCACAGTTTTAAAAACTGTATAGATAGGACCAGCAGATGGCGTAATGGTTATGCCGCTGGACTCCCACACAGTGGACTGGGGTTCAAGTACTGGACCCGGCAGCTTGAAACTCATGCTGGGTGCATGTGCATGTGTGCCCCAAATCGTGAGGGGAGACTAGAGGAGAAGGAATTGTGGCATGCCATCCCCCTGGGGGGTGTGATTTCTTGCTTTCTGTCTCTCTGTCTCTCCAGTGCGTGCAAGTACCCTACGGTAAAAATCTCTCTAAGAAAACACAAAACAAACAAACAAAACTGTATAGAATGAGGTAATTGGGCAGACCCAGCAGCAGCTAACAGAGGTTCTAGCTCCCAAGCTAGCACCTCTGCACTGGGCAGCAGCAGCAGCCACCCCTGTCACTTACTTCTAGGTCCCGGAGGAGCCATGTTTTACTGAAGCCGGTCCCTTTGCTGCACTTCTTCACCAGCAGCTTCAGCAAATCAGTCTGAAGGAACGTAGAATGGGTCTCTTCAAAACCGTGAGCCTGCCAAGCAGAAAAACAAAAATTTTTATAAACACCTCAGAATAAAGAAAATGAAATGAGTCAGAAAGAAGCAAGGCTTTCTCCATGCCCAGACTCAGCTGGTGGCTCGAGGTGACTATCCAGAGAAATTCTGGAATCGGCAGGAAGAACGACATTCTGAACTTAGCCACAACCACTGTCTGTTCAGTCACTCTCACTCATTCACTAAATGAGTATTTTAAAAACCTATCTTTATGCCACTCCTCTGATTTCTACCTTCTAAACGTTTTTCTATGCTCTTTAGATAAAAACTCAAGCCCCTAAACATGGCTGATAACGTCCTCAAGGCTCTCTGCCTGCTGCTCTGGCCTCACTGCTTTCTTCAACATTCCTTCTGCTCTCTGACAATCACGTCTGCTGCGCTTCAAGGCCTGGAACCTGCTACTCTCTCTACTTGGAATCCTTTTCGGTTTCCCAAGGCGGATTCCTTATCTACCAATCACTTCAAATGCAATCTTCTTGGGAAGGTGTTTTTCTCATTCAGGGCAGATTTCCTTGTAGGCTTCCTGCTCTCTCTCTTGCTGGTGAGGCTTAAGCGCCAAAAGAGCAGAGACCTTCTTCCTAGTTCACCAACACATACCTAGTTCCATCTGGCCCATGGGGCTCAACAAATATCTACTGAATGAAGGATTCAAAGGCAGACATGAACTTAGGCCCGAGGGAGTCTATTTTCCCTTTCCTGCTATAATGTAAACAGTGAAAAAAATAGCATCTCAATCTGCACCTCCAAAGTCTCAGGGTTGAACCAGAGCTGCATGCCACACAATCTAGTCTCCTCTGGTGCCTCCATGACCACTGCCCCAACCCTACCAGTGCTATACTGAACACCCTTCAAAGTCAAGGACTTCACCAACTTTTCTAATGAGCTCCCTGCATGGGTAGCTCTGATGGAAAAGTTACCCTAAAACGAGTTGAAATACGCCTCCTTGGAAAATCCTTCTTTCCCATCAATGCCAGTCTGGTACTGGAAGAACTGTGTTGCCTGTAAGTCAAGGTTTCTCATCTCCAAATATCACCCAACTCTTTAACTCATCTATCTCCTCCTACTCCAACTGCTACACCTATTGCTCAAAGATCCCATGGGACGCGAGCTTTCTGCACTTTTCTCTTTATCTCCTATAAGGAACCAGAGGACTTGTCCTTCAGAAAGGAAGTGAGAAACTTCTCAACTCATTTTTCTTCTTACCTTCTAAGATTATAACCCCACAAAGTAACTGATTCTATGAAATAGAGCTGAAAAACGGTTTATTTCCCTTTGGAAAAATTCTACTTTTTCCTCAAAGTTATCCTGGTGTAAGGCCCCAACCATTTCCAAAAATAATCAAGATCCTGTGGTTAGTCATCCATCAAAATCAGATGGCCTGTCCTCCTAGTTAATTCCCTGCAGATGTTAAAATCACAGAGAGATTTGTCAAATGAAGACGCTATTACCTTCAATGTTTTATACAGTCCTTTGAGGGCCAGGGACAGGACCCAAGTCGCTTCCACTGCCTCGGGACAATGGCTGTCCATGCTGGTTTGCAGAAGGTGACTGGCGATAAAGGCAAAGTGCTGGGAGTATTGGCTCAGCTGGGCCTGAGAGTCACCGCATTCTTGTCCTCCCCCCTTCTGGACCAGCTGGTAGTCCTTCACTGAAGGGTGATGTCAGACAAGAGAGAAAGGCAGAAAAAGTACAGATAATGCTTCCTGTAGATAAGTTTCTTCCACATTAATGTGCCTTCCTACAGTAAGAACTGCAGAAACATAATCTCTCAGGTTAATCTCAGCCATTGTAGTTATGATCAACTTGCAGGTGAGCACAGAAATGGTACTGGGACCCTCCCCACCAAGCAACTGAAAGGGATGATTCATATCCCTGCCACTGCACACAAGCAGGTCATCTCCAAAGGTGCTAATGGAAGTTCTTAAAGACATCTGCCTGAAGGCCAGCCCACAGCCTGGTCGTTAGGGAGCTAACTCCCACGTGTCTGACCACGTGGTTTGAATTCTGGACCGGGTGGCTTGAAAAGCATGCTACATTTGTAGGCGTGTGTGCCCAAAATCTCAAAAGGAGAGAGAAATGGAGAAGGGATTGCAATGTGACTATTCATCCATGGGGGTGCTTTCACCCTCTGCTTTCCTTTCTTTCTCTCTGGTAAGTGCAAATGTTCTCTGGCAAATTAAAAAGAGAGAACAAGGAATATAAACAGTATGCATAAAACTGCTACTTCCAAATGAGATGGAAAAAGAGGAATCAGACTCACTTTCTTATTTTAAATAACAAGAGTAATGAAAAGCCACATAAAACAATGTTTTGCAAACACTGGGCCACAGGCAGGATTCTGGTCTCTGGGAGAGGAGATGTAGGCCAGGTTAGCCCTCCAATACCACCTGCTATCTGGAGACACTTTCCAGGCTACAGAATAGGGAACAGAAATCTGAGCAGAGCCCAAGAGTCTCAATCAATGGAGAAGACAAAGATCAGAATTCAGGGAAATCAAGGCTGCCAGAATTTATGGGGCAGAATTTTACAGAGAAGGAAGATGCACAGAGAGAAAGGTGAGTGGTGGAAAATTCTCTAGGGAGCCACAGAAGGTCCCTCATGAGTCTCTGGCTGACTATTGATCTGCACATACGTGAGACAAACCATCTGGAGCAGGACAAAGAACTAAACAAGATGTAGGCCAGTGGGCAAAACAGTTCCCTGACTTGACCGTGGTTCAAGTCCTGAACCTGGTGGCTTGCTTTCTAACTTTCCCTCTCTCTCTCTCTGTCCCTCACTCGTCAAATTAAAACAAACAAATAAATAAAGATAAATAAAATAATTCTTTTAAAAAAACATTTTTATCTCTTTCTCTCCCTCCCTCCCTAACTCCATTAGAGAAAATAAAATCACAAGCATGGGCAAGAACCAAGAACCAAGGTATTTTCATTGATTTGAGAGTATGCAAGGATTAGAACATTATCTCCCTTTCTTAGAAAAAATCATTATGTTTGGGACCTGTTTTCCTCTTCCGAGTTTTGACATCAACAATCACAGCTCTGTTCTTCTCAGTGAAGTGTTTCAAGATGATCACATTATGGGGTTCATTGGCATTATCCATATAGACACAGCGGGTTCCCACACAGAGGACCTAGAATATGACAGAGAAAAAGAGGGAAGGCAACTCAATGGCATGTCAGGGCAGGAAAGGGCACTAAAATAGGCACAAGCCCAGCCCCTTTTGCATGTGCCTCTGATTTCAACAAGTACTAGAGGATAGGATTCTTCTCATCTCTAAACCCAGCACAGCCTGTGCACAGTCTGGCACAGAACTAGTTCAAGTCCTTGGTGGCTAAGCCAAGTTTTTAATAGCCTCTACTGTCCCAATCAGTTGAAATACATGAAAATTAGAAACGAAATCCAGATGAACGCCAAAGTGACAGACAACTGTTCTTTGACATTCTTTGTAATTTAGTATGTTATAGTGACATGATTCAAAGCCAACTACCAGTGAATAAAATGAAAATAAAATGAATCAAATGGCTAAATACTGTGAAAGTAGATGATGCAACTGAAGAATGAAAACTTCTGAAGACAGTTAGCTAGATATGCCATCGAAACTTTAGTGCACGCGATGAAGACTGGACGGGGTGGCCAGGCCCTCACAGTCTGTACCTGGGGGAAGCCGACCAGCACGAGCAGGGTGAAGATGTTGGTGTGCTTCAGCTGGAAAGGCAGCTGCTTGATGCAGTGGTCTGTGAAGGTGGCAATGACATCACGCCACAGTGGGGCGCTGTTGAGTGACCGCAGGATCTCGGCCATGGAGCACGCCCAGTCCAAGCCCACCCGGCTGGAAGGCAAGAGCTCCATTAGGTGGCAGTGCACAGGGCTCCAAACTCAACGCAGAAGAGCTCGTGGCACGCCACGGTGGACCCGCAGACATGCAAAAAGCTGTTTACTAGTTAGCACGGAACTACCAGAAGGATGCTTGTCATATAATGGTAAGTGAAAAAACAAATTTAAAAATCAAGACCTGTCATTTATATACTCAGTCTACAACCTCTCCATAAAAAGTCACCCACACATGTGCATGCACATGCACACTCACAATCACACACAGGCAAAAGAGCTCGGAAGGAAATGTGTAACAGCACCAGATACATTAATGTTGTGTAAGTCAAGGTGATTTTTTCCTTCATTTCTGTTTTCCAACTTTGATATTACCATTATGTTATTTTTACAATAAAAATAGATTTATTTTCTTCAACCTTAAGGCCTATATTTACAGCACTCAGGAAAAAAAAACAAATTAAAATATATTTATTATAATATCAGAGTTGAATCAGCAGAAAGCATTAAGGCTACTCAGCTGTTTTAGGTGGGCTGGCAGTAGTGCTAATGGAACCGGTTCTATTCTCACAAAAGATTCCAGACAATAGCACCGTAACACTGTGAAATTAACCGACAGCCATGGGACCGGCAAGTGACGTGGTGGTTAAGGCGCTGGACTCTCACATGGCTGACCACAATTCAAGTCCTGGATCTGGTGGCTTGCTTTCCCACTCTCTCTCTAGTCAAATTAAAAATAAATAAATTAATTAAAACATTCTTTTTTGGAGAGTTTTTGTTTGTTTGTTTGTTTGTTTGTTTTGTTTTGTTTTGTTTTTGCTATAGGGCATGTATGTTTGCTAGAAAGACAGAGAGAGACAAAGTGAGAAATCACCCCCTGGGGGGGATGGCCATGCCGCAATCCCTTCTCCATTCTCCTCTCGTGATCTTAGGCACACACGCAAATGCACCTGGTGTGAGTTTAAGCCACTGGGTCCAGGACTTGGATAGTGATCGACTACATGGGAGTCCAACTACATAACCATTACGCTATCTGCTGGTCCCAAGTAATTATTTTTTTGAGAGAGATGTCTTTGCCATAGGTGTGTGCGCTTGCCAGAAAGAAAGAGAAAGAGAGAAATCAATCCCCAGGGGTGATAGTCATGCCACAGTCCTTTCTCCTCCATTCTCCTCTCAGGATTTTGAGCGTGCAGGCACATATGCCTGGCATGAGTTTTAAGCTGCTGGGTCCAGAACTTGAACTGTGGTCGACTATGTGAGAGTCAAGTGATATAATCATTACACCCTTTGCTGGTCCCAAATAAATAATTCTTTAAAAAAAATAATTAATCAACAGTCAGGCCTCTGACTTAAAGAAATGAACAGCAGGTAGGGTGAAGAGGGGGTGGCTACCTGTCCAGGCACACAGCTCCCAGGCTAAAGAGCAGGTGAGTGGTTTTCCAGCCATCTGGCACGACGGCACTGTCGCCTGCCGCAAACAGGCTGTGTTTGGCTGAGAGGACCTTGGTCACTGCAGCATCTACCTCTGCTGGTAAAAGTCGGGTGATTAACTGGCCAAGGAGACCCAGAGTGAGGTGGTAGGTTTCATTCAGGTGACCTGCGTTTGAGATGACAACCTGAAACATAAGTGGGAGGACGTGCTCCAGGTCTATCAGTGGGACAGAAGGACCCTGCCAAGAGAAGGAGAAAAATCCCATCAGCACAAAATACATGTAACCACACCCACTAACACTCTCTCCCCTTCATGGCTCATTTACAACTGGTCTAGTGCTAACAGAAGTACACAGTGGCTTTCATAAAAGTCGTATGTATAACCAATAATAAAACAAGTATTCTCATATATCATCTTACATTCTTATTTCCAACATTCTTTTACTCTGAAAAATATCTGGGTTCCCCTCCAAACATGTCTATCCATTGTAAGAGAATTCAAGTAATTCAGAAATGACAAGTTAAAGCTCTCCTTAATCCACCCCCACCAATGCCCATGAAAGAGCCACTTTTTTTTCTTTTAAGGAATTATTTCATTTAACTTTATTTATTTATTTACTTCAATTTGACCAGAGAGAGAGAGAGAGGAGGGAAAGTGAGAAAACAAGCCACCAGGTCCAGGATTCGAACCATGATCAGCCATGTGGAAGTCCAGCGCCCTTAACCACCATGCCACCTGCTGGCCCCAAGAACCACTGTTAACATTCTGATGATGACGTCTTCTGATCTTTTTCTATACATATTTACATATAATATATGTAAAATAAATTATACAATATTAATAGTTATTTTTTCTTTAAATAGTGTCCTACAGGGCCAGCTGGCGGTGTGGTGGTTAAGGCAGCTGAATCCCACATGGCTGACTATGTAGTTTGAGTCTGGACCTGGTAGCTTAGAAAACACTCTAAGCACATGTACATGTGTGCTCCAAATCCCGAGGGAATGGAGAAAGGACTGCAGCATGGTCTTCCCCCCGAAGGTGTTTTCTCTCTTTCTCTCATTCTCTGTTTCTCCATCAAGCACACGCACCCTATAGCAAAATTACTGATTAATCACAATGTGGCTCTAAAATTCTAATGAAAGTAATTTTAAGAGAGTCAAAATCTAAACAATACAAAAAAAACCCAAACACCTAACCAAGCAACCAACCAACCAAATCTGGAGCTAGGTCATTTGAACACCTGGGACACGATGATGGTAACAAAAGCATATTAAAGCTCTCATCTTGTTTGGGAAATAAGGCAAAAAAGGAGCCGTCTGGTGATATGGCAGTTAATGCAGCTGGATCCCACATGGCTGATTATGTAGTTTGAATCCTAAACCCAGCAGCTTGGAAAACATGCCAGTCATGTGTGCATGTGTGCCCAAAATCCAGAGAGGAGGAGGGATTGTTACATGTCCATTCCTCCTGGGAAGTGCTTTCTTACTTTGCTCTCTCGGGTGAGCACATTTACCCTACAGCAAATTAAAGAAAGAAAGGAAAAAAAGAAAGAGGCAAAAAGGTAACTGAGATGGAAATATAGATTGAGAAACCAGCCTGTGGTATGGTGGTTAGGGTGGCTAGATCCCACGTGGCCCACAGCACAGTTTGAGTCCTTGACTTGGTGCCTCGAAAACCATGCCAGGAACATGTGCACATATGCCCAAAATCTTTTTTTTTTTTGGAGAGGTTTTTGCTATAGGGCGCGTGCGCTCGCCAGACAGACAGAGAGAGACAGAGAGACAGAAAGCAAGAAATCACCCCCCGGGGGGATGGCCACACCGCAATCCCTTCTCCTCCATTCTCCTCTCGGGATCTTGGGCACACACCCACACGTGCCCGGCGTGAGTTTTAAGCCACCGAGTCCGGGTCCCTCTCTCTCTCTCTCTAGCTTATTTTGGCAAATGCACACACCCTATAGCAAACTGAAAAGAAAGGAGAATATAAGGTGAAATAAGTAAGCAAAATCTTAACAACGAGAGCGATATGGTGACTGCACCGTCCAAGCCCAGGTGTGCCAAAGTCAGAGCTGCAATGTAAAAGCAGCCACCCAGACACAGGCTGCGGTGAGCTCGATGCATCCAGCTTGATGGAAACATGCCTTCAAAATGGCCTTCTCTCCTCATTCTAACTGCATGTGTATAAGACAGCCTTCTGAGCTACAATATGGCCTTCGGGTGGGTTTACATGCCAAAAGGGAATACCTACCAAATTCCCTGTTAGACACACATCCCTTGCAAAAGTTGGCCCCCGAGTCTGAGTTTCTCTAGGAAAGCTGCTATAAGGGACATTTTGGGGAGTAATTGGGGAACTCTGCATAAAGGCTATATATATATGGTAAAATTGTTCTATCGATGTTAAATTTTTCAAGAATGATAATGATATTCTGGTTGTGTAAGAGAATATATTTTTCGAAGACACACGCTGAAGTACTAAGGGTGAAGTGTCAATGATGGTCCCAACCTTTTAAGATTTTTGTCACAGGGTATTTGTGCTTGCTAGAGAAAGACATAGACAGAGAGAGGGAAAGTAAGAAATCACTCCCCATCCCAACTGGGGGAGGATGGCCAAGCCGCAGTCCCTTCTCTTCCATTCTTCTCTCAGGATTTTGTACATGCATGTACACACACCTGGCATGTTTTTCAAGCCACCAGGTCTGAGACTCAAACTGTGAAGTCAGCCATGTGGGATTTAGCATTTTAACCACCATGCCATCTGCTGGCCCTACCAACCTATTTTTTAAAGTACAGGAAAAAAAAATACAGATACATGAGGGGACTTAAAAAGAGGCTGTATGGGGAACCAGCAGTTAGCGTAATGGCTATGTCGCTGGACCCCCACATAGTCGACCGCGGTTCGCGTCCCGGACCCAGTGGCTTAAAACTTACGCCGGGCACGTGTGCGTGCGTGCCCAAGATCCCGAGAGGAGAATGGAGGAGAAGGGATTGCGGCGTGACCATCCCTCCTGGGGGGTGATTTCTCGCTTTCTGTCTCTATGTCTCTGTCTGTCTGGCGAGTGCACACACCCTATAGTGACAACCTCTCCAAAAAAAAAAAAAATTGCTGTATGAAATGGAATTAAAGTATCAATTAATTTTGCTGCAAAAATGTTGAAATCCACACATGGTTTTTATTAAGAACACATATTTTCCATGAAGTTTTTGAATATCCCTTATATAACTAGAACTAAAGCAAAATATTAACAACTGGTGAATCAGGATGAGCAAATGGCATATTGGACCAGCAGATGGCATAATGGCTATGTTGCTGGACTCCCATGTAGTCAACCATGATTGGAGTCCTAGACCTGGTAGCTTAAAACTCATGCCCGGCGCATGTGCATGTGTGCCCCCAATCATAGAGGAGAAAGGATTGTGGCATGGCCATCCCCCTGTGAGATGATTTTTCACTTTCTGTCTCTCTCTGTCTGCCCAGCAAGCACACACGCCCTAGCAAAATCTCTCTTAAAAACAAAACAAAAAACTGATGAATCTAGGTAATGATCTTCATTATTATTCCTTCAAGTCTTGAGATTAAAAGTTTTCAACATGGGACTAGTCCCGTAGCCTAGTGGATAAGGAAGCTGGATCCCATATGGTTCAAATCCTAACCCCAGTGGCTTGCAAAACATGTCAGCCTGTTTATATGTCCACTGGCAAAGTACTTTCTTCCTGTCCCTTTCTCTCTCTGTATCTCTCTGGTGAATGGACACACTCTCTGGCAATAAATTATTCTTTCCCCACAATAGATAGAAAGGATGATCATAATAACTTAAAACAATAAGTTATAGGACCAGCGGACGGTGTAATGGTTATGTCACTGGACTCCCATGCAATCGATCATACTTCAAGTCCAGGACCTGCAGCTTAAACTTACGCCAGGCACATGTGCATACGTGCCCCAAATGCCGAGAGGAGAATGGAGGAGACGGGATTGCAGTGAGGTCAACCCCCTTGGGGGTGATTTCTTGCTTTCTGTCTCTCTAGTAAGTGCAAGCATCCTATAGCAAAAATCTCTCTCTTTAAAAAAAAAAAAAAAACAACAGTAAGTCATAATATATGCTTAAAATATATAGAGTCAAAGAAGAAAATATTTATAACTTATAGCCCTACTTTCAGAGATACAGAGATGACTCTATTAACAGGTTGTTTCAGAATATTTTATGGTTTTCCGAAATTCATTTGTTATGTTAAAACCACCCCCTTTTTAAAATTAGTCATTTAAATTTTGCTGTAGGTGTATACACTCACTAAGGAGACAGAAGAGAAGAAGGAAGTGAGAAATCACCCTGAGAGGGGATAGTCATGCGATAATCCCTTTTTCTCCATTTTCTTCTCAGGATTTTGGACATGCACTCACACATCCAGCATGTCTTTCAAGCTGCCGGGTCAGGGACTATAACTGCACAGTCAAGTGACATCCAGCTGTCTTAACCTCCATGCTACCAGTTGGCCTACACCCCCTCTTTTAAAAAGAAAATGCTGGGGACCAGCAGTTAGTATAATGGCTACGTTGATGAACTCGCATGTAGCCAACCACGGTTTGAGTCCCGGACCCGGTGGCTTAAACTCACATCAGGCGCGTGTGCGTGTGTGCCCAAGATCCCGAGAGGAGAATGGAGGAGAAGGGATTGTGGCGTGGCCATCCCCCTGGGGGGTGATTTCTTGCTTTCTGTCTCTCTCTTTCTGGCGAGCGTAAGCGCCCTATAGCAAAAGCCTCTCCAAACAAACAAAAAAAAAAAAAAAGAAAAGGCTGTGTATCTCTTACCGACTTTAAGGGAGGTAACATGGCTGCTAGTAATCCCAAAATCCTCTTCTGGGAACACTCAGCAAACACTTGCTCAGGGTTTGGAGTGACCGCCTTTTCTTCTACTGGTTTCTGAGATGACACATCTGAATTTTCAGCATCTGAGTTGTAAAGAAGGCAAACTTTCAGATTCTGCCTGGTTCTATATATCCATAAAGAAGCAAGTAAACCACTGCATTGTCCCCGTGCTGCTAAAGAATAAGGCTGAGACAGGGGCCAGTGGAGGAGTCCAACCCGGTGGGGCTCCAGGACCCGTCTGAGCCCCTTGACCTTTGAGCATCGCTTCCGGTCGGTTCAGTGAGTTGGCAAGGCCGCGACTGTACGCCCCCCGACCATGGAACAAGCTTGGGTCACTTAGCATGTTGGCAAGGCCGCCTGCTATTCGCTCCGGGACTGTGATAGCCTTGCTGGGAAGTGACCCCCCTCTGACTCCCCGATATACTACTATAAAAGAATTACATAGCTCCCTCATACATCTTGAGTGTGTGGTAAGATTTCCCGAAAAGTCCCCCGACCGCTCCCCTTTACCCTGACCACTTACTGTTGATTACAGTGCTTCACTGGGCACAATAGAGGGTGTGCTAAAGTTCTTCTTGATTGTTGGAAGGCCTTTCAAAACACATTTATATAAACTTAAAAATTACCTCTTAAGCAGAAACTGACCCAGGACACTCCCGCCTCACTGTAGCTAATGTTCTGACAAAGTACATGACGGTGGTGCCACAAGCACAATAAGAATGCCTAGGTGTGCCACAAAGTTTTCCATTAACTCATTAGTCACTTCACCACCAGCTGAAAGGGCTGTATCCCCACTGTACTTGAGATTTTCTTTTCTAGCAACGCAACCAGTAACCGCAAGACGGCTGCCGCCAAGTACTGGCTGATAATTAACTCTACCTGCTGAAACTGTTCTCCGAAACCACGCTCCCAGAACAGAAGTTCCCAAAAGCTTGCTTACATCAATCTATTGTTGAATTGTATCAACCTGCCCTTAATCAAACCCTGAATAGAATCTTTGATCTCAATTGTTAAAACTTTATGAATTGATCATTAGGTCACGTAGCCCCTCTCCCATTTGCTTGCATGTATCCCATTTTCAATGGAGGGGCACGATGTTTCCTGGCAGTTGTCACTCCTCAGAGAGCGATCTCTGGGAGTGTCCGGCTGAGGACGTGCATGAAAAGGCACGAGGCCTTAGTCTTCCTTTCTTTCCAGCGTCGCCTCCGTCGAACCAACCCACCCCCGCCGAGGCTGGGCCCCGGCAGGCCAGAAAGTGGTGTGATGGCTAAGGGCACTGGACTCCCACATGGACCTGGTGGCTTGCTTTCTCACTTTCTCTCTCACTTTGTCCCTCTCTGATCAAATTAAAACAAATAAATAAATAGATAAATAAATAAAAAGAATAAAGCTGGGACATTAGAACCTACTACTGGCTGGCTCCACAGTGTAGCAGTAATGCACTGCCTAGAAGAAGCCATGCCTCAGTGGCAGCCACAGTTTGAACCCCCCAGCCTGGTCAGCCTGAAACACTCCACACATGGGAGCACCCAAGATCCGGCACACTGCAGGACTGGAGAAGGGGACTGCAGTGTGCCCAGACCCTGTGTAGGGGGCTTCTCTCTCTCTCTCTCTGTCCCCCTCACTGTCACATGTATGTACACATGTGCTCTACCATGAATGAAGAAAGGGAAAAAACCCCAGCTGACCAGGTCTTGGCCAAATGAGGATGCTCTGGTATCCTCCCTGCTCCTGCTCTTCTGTGCATGTTGCACTAACCCATCATTTTGTAACTTGTATCCTACAGTTTATATGTATTGTTTATTGTCTGTCTTCCCTTTAGATCCTTGTTTCTTTCAGTGATGGACCTCAAACACCTAAAAATAAGTCTGGAGCATGGCAAGTACTTAATGAATGCCCGATAAGTGAATGAACTGCCTAAGAAGCAGGACGCTAATCCTCAGAGGAAACAGACTCTAGAGGACTCTGAGGACCTGACCGGATGTGGAGTGTCAGGCCATTTTCCAGACTTAGCCTTATACACACTGCAGAAATGAATGCCACCCTCTTCCGACAGCTGCCCCCACAGACAGAGTAGAATGCCAGGGGCTCACCTGTCTCCATCACAGAGCAGGCAGATGGAAAAGATCCTGCCTCCCTGGGCTGCCACCAGGATGAGACTGAAACTTGTTCCTGGTCTGAAGCCCACAGCACCTTCATCGTACACTTCTCAGTTCTAAAACTGTCTTTGCTACCACTCCCCTAAGACAGGTGGCAGAGGCCCTTCACAGCAAAGCCCTAAAGCACCTCTCCTGTGTCACCTTCGATCCTGCTCCATCCCTGCACACCTGTCTAGGACTTCTTGCTTGTATTCGGCTGTGGCTTTCCCACTCGAGGCCTTTGCTCACATGTTGTCCTTCCTACCCTGAATACCCGTCCTCAGTGCAAACCCTAGCACGTTCAAGGTGTGTGACCCCTCTAAGGCTCCAGAGAGAGACCAGTCACCATCACCACCTGCCTGCACCTCTCCTCTAGGCAGAATCATAGCCCACCTCGAATCCCAGTTCCCCGCACCTTCACCTTGAAGCCTCTAGACTTTGAGCTCCGTGAGAGGAGGGACAGGGCCTGTTCTCCTCCAGGGTCTAGCACGCTGCGTGGCATACATGATGCACTCAGCCCGTACAGGAATAAATGAGGTAGGCAAGTAGTCAGAGTGCACGGAAGACGACTCGCAAAGCATTCTTAGCACCATCCTTGTGGTTGCCGGCCAGTTTCAAATGGTGTGCAACACAGAGCTCAGGATGGGTGCGTGTGTGTGTTAGGACGCAGGGATCAAGGCAATGGTCAGGCAGTCTTCACCTGGAAGTCCTGTAGGTGTCCTGGCATCTGCAGGGGAATCTGAAATCTGGGTCTGGCACACAGTATCCTTCTTTAATGGTCCACCTTCATCTGCCTTGTTTCTCTTCTTGTAGTCCACAAGTCTGACTTCCTTATGAACAGCTCTCTTACTCTAAAAACAGAATAGTGGGCATTAAAAAAAAATTAGTTTTTTTTTTTAATAATGAGGGTTGATTTCATTAAATATTATAACACTTTGAAAAAGATTAGTTGCTTAGTCTTCACAGACTAAAAAACTATGAATTCTATCAGAAAGTGTCACTCATCTTTTATTGTAATCTACATCTAATTAAGAGAGCAACCATGGCATCACAGCCTTCAGTCACCCTCCAAATCTGTCCCTTCATGATCTGTGAGTGATTAAAGTGCTGTCTGGAGAAGGGGTTTTGTGGTCAAAAATACTGACAGCTCAGAGACAGGCTTGAAGGTGATATGGCCTGCCTTCTGTCAGCTCTCTGGCTAAATGAAACGCATACAAAAGTTCACTTTTCTGCCAGCTTTTGTCTGGCTCTACATGCCAGTGGGATCCTGGTGAGCTCTAACCATGAAATGGGGGAGTCTTTGAAATAGTAACTTGACGGACGCCAAAGACAGAACAAGAATGGCAGTGAGGCAAAGTCCCGGGTGTTTACAGCCTCGACTCCGGCTTGGAGGGAAGGAGCACAGAAGTGATGCCATGCTGTCCCCTAAAACAATCCTTGGCGTCGCCATCACAGGTTACGCGTGGATCCAGAAAGGCTTTCCTGCATCTACGACTACATGTGAACTGCTCTTCTGCCCGGCCAACAGTAAACATCCAGTACCACCTATTTGTTAACTGAACATAAAAGCAGCAGCACGTAGATAATGTTCATTGCAGGCTGGGACTCATTTCTTTAGGTGCATAAGCTTGTTCAATCCTAATAAAAACGACCAGGAGGCAGGTAGTGGGAGTACATGGAACGTCCTGCAAACACTGTTCTAAGCACCGCACACATTACTTCATGTTATCTCAAAGTGTGTATGATGTGTAATCCTCACGATAACCTTTGTTAGAGGTATTAATATGATCATCCTCATTTTACAGAAGCAGATCTGACCAGACGGCCAGGCTGCCCCACAAGATCATCAAAGAAACCCAGGGTATGCTGGCCGAATGAGTCTCTGGCATTAAAGCAGAACCAGAAGACAGAGGCGCCCGTTATTTTCACATGGTCACTGCTGGTCCCCAGGTTCCCTCTTTAAGGGAGGAACTTTTAAACTTGATCTCTGTCTTCCAGAATACCCAATGGTAGCCCTGAAAGTACATTTTATGACCAACACTTATCATCCTAACGTAGCCCTACTACAAAGAATATGTTTACTATTTCAAAAGATAACTGGTCTCCTGCATTGTGGATCTGCACAGCTCTGCTACGGACCCAGGCTCTGTGAAGCATTTCCAGTTCTGATAAGCCATTAGCAAATGACAGAGCAGAGCAGTGGAAGACCAGCAAAGCACAAGCCGTGACATTCTAGAAACAGGTAAGGCATGCCCTAGGCTATATGCTGCTGATTATATTAAAACTGCACTAATTATCAAGTGTGCATCCCTTCTGTTCTGCCAAAACGTCTTCCTTTCTTGTTTGCATTGAAGGTACAGTCTTAGAAATATTACAGAATAAAAATCTAGACATTTTCAAGGGAAAAAAAAAAAGGAAGGAAAAGAAAACTGAAGTGGAGATTGTGGTAACATGCCCACGGTCTGACAGGGCAGGGATCTGAACCAGCAGTCTGTGCTCTTCATTTCTCTGCTATGCTGCCTCCTGTGGATGGCTCTCTCTTAGCTCAGTCTGAGGCTCTGCGAAGTAGAAGTGGTATTTACATTGCCATGCACAGAAGGGACTGCCCCTGATGGCTCCTTGGCAGCCTGGACAGCTCTCTTCTCTAGCTGTTCCTCTGATGTCCGGGTGGGTGCGATGTCTGGTAGGGCCTGATTTTCTGGGGTAGAGTTACCATCTGGCAACACACCAAGAAGAGCTAGAGCCTTAAGACCTGTACAGGGAGCAAGTAAGAGAATAGTTAAAAGTTTAACAATGAGACCAGCAGGTGGTGTGGTGGTTAAGGAACTAACTCCCATATGGCTGATGGTGGTTTGAGCCACAGACCTGGCAGCTTGCCTTCTCATTTTCCCTCTCTCTCAGGTGAGCACACATGTCCTACTGTAAATTAAAAAAACACACAAACAAAAAAAACGGGACCAGCAGTTGGCATAATGGCTACGTCGCTGGACTCCCACGTAGTTGACCAAAGAACTCCCCAACAGAACTCGCTGAGATGACTATAAAGTTCTATAATTTATTGTGTCCGGGAAAGTAGCCACTAGACTGTGTAGCTACTGAGCACTTAAAATATGGCTTATGTGAGTAAATAATTGAAAATTTCATTCTAATAAAGTTAAATATATATGGCCACATATGGCTTAAATGACTGTATTGGACAGTGCATTTCTAAACCTTAAAAAAAGATAAAAAATGGACCAGCCTGTGGTGTGATGGTTAAGGCAGCTGGATCCCTCATGGCTGACCTTATGGTTCAAGTTCTGACCTGGTGACGAGAAACATACTAGGTGTGTGTACATGCATGCCCAAAATCCCAAAAGGAGAGAGAAATAGAGGAGAAGGGATTGCTGGGTGGCCATGCCTGATGGAAAATGCTTTCTTGTCCCCACCCCCCCACCAGCAAGCACATGTACGTCTGGCAAATTTTTAAAAATATAAGAGTTGTTTTCTACAAATGCCTTGAGTCACTTTGCCATGACATAGAAATAGATGGACACTTTCTACATAAACCAAAAGCAGGAGTACTCGATACAAATATCCCTGGCTATCTAAATCTACTCAGCAACCTAGACAGCAGGTATACTGCGCTTTATTCACAAAAGACAAAGGATACAAAAGGAAAGCCTGTTCAGAAACTCATACACATTATAATGTTACAGCAGCCCCACACAACTAGATTTCTAAATTCCCACTGCAAATGGGTGACAAAGTCACTCTGAAGCACACTGTTACCTGTCTGCTCTGATTCCCTAATGTTAGAAGCAAAACAGGAAGGCTATCTGAGACAAGTCTAGAGTCTCAGAACTGTAATGGTCTATTATTTTCTTCTAGTACCCCTCGGTAGTCAGAAACATCTAGACGTTCTGTTAAACTAGTTTCCTTGTAAACAGCTCTCATTTAGAATATAGCGTATGGAAGTAGATTTGCACTCAAGATTAAAAAAAAAAAAAGTTTGGATTCCCTTGGCAAAGTTTGATAGATTCAAATACTAAATATCTACCAAAAATCAAGAGTTTTAATTATTAATACACATTTTTGCACCTTCATGTAAACAGAGAAACTAAATGCCACTTTTTTTTCATTGTGTATTTATTCATTTTATTTTATTTGCTATTATTATTATTTTCAAGTTTGCTATAGGGCAGGTGTGCTTACAAAAGAGAGAGAGAGAGAGAAAGCAAGCCACCAGGTTTGGGACTTGAACCATCATCAGCCATGTGGGAGTCCAGCACCTTAACCACCATGCCACCTGCTGGCTCTCTAAATGCCACTTCCATACCAGGATCTCTCTCAAAAGTTTTTGGGAACTTCAAATCAAGCTGCACAGCAGGGTGAGCCCCTCTTGTGTAAACGGTCTTTGCTACCCCTAGGCTGAGCACAATACTTTCACTCCTGGCAGAGCTTCTCCTTTGCCGGCAGCTGAGGGGTGGGTTTGGTTTCTGCGAGTGAGGAGCAATCACCTTTTCCCTGGTGGGCCTTCATCAGACAGTCCCCAACGAGCTGCATGCACTGACTCCGCAGGGTGGTGGCACTGCTGCGGGCTTGGGGGTCCAGCTTCTCCCCGTCCACGTCGTCTACACTGGCCAGGTGGGCACTATAGAGAGCCAGGGCAGCAAAGAGCAGCCAGGAGTAGTTGTGGATGTAGGGCTGGATGAGCCTCTGCCGGTCGCTGATCCGAATGGTCACCATTGGGTGGGCCGTGATGCTGTGGGTTGGCAAATGCCTGCAAAGGCAAGACATGTTGGAGGCCTACGATCCTTTGTGAGGCTTCAGAAAGCACAGGGCCTCTGGGGAGCATGTACTTGGTCACGACTGGACATTAATCACCTCTAGGCTGTGGCTATTGAAAGCATAAAGAGAGGAATGAGCTTTCTCCCTGGAAAGATGAATAAACACAACATTAAACATACTGTTTTGGGATTTCACAACCTCTAGGACACTGCCTATGGAAACCAAGCTAGGAAGAACTCTTACTGTGAATTTTGCAAAGTGAGGTCATAGCATTTTGGTAATGAGAGAAAATGCCCATAACTTTTATAGATAGACATGAGCTATGGAGGAAAGAAATGATTTAAAGTATGGAATTTGCTTTAAAGTCTAAAAAACTAATTTTTGTTTAGGTTTTTGCCATAGGGTGTGTACTCTTGCTAGAGACAGAGCAAGGGAAAGTGAGAAATCATGCCCCTGGGCAGATGGCTCTGCTGCAATCCCTTCTCCTCCACTCTCCTCTTGGGATATTGGGCATGTACACACATGCAGCTGGCGTGGTTTTCAAGCCTCTGGGTCTGGGTCTCAAACCACAGTCCGCCACGTGGCAGTCCAGTGCCTTAATAACCACACCAGTTGCTGGCTCCCTGCTTTAAAATACTTTAAACAAAAAACAAACAAACCAAAGGAATAAACTAAACACACACAGGAAAACCTTCCTAACTGCTGAATCTGGGTAATGGGGATATAGATTCAATGTACTATTTTCAGGAATGTTTGAAAAGTTTTTATGATAAAAACTCCTTTTAAGAAAAGAAGTCCCCTTTTCAAGTGAAGGAAGAAAAGGCTACATGGCTAGAGGTCAGCTGAGACATACCCATAGGAATACTTCTTTGCTGCATAGCATCCATAGCAAAGATCAAAGTCATCGCATACATTGCAATTCATCCTCCGGCCAATGATCAAGCCCTGGCAGTGGTCGCAGGTAAACTCCATGTTGACCATCTCATGGTCATCCCCGTGGCCCTCAGGCTTCACCCCGCCTGGGAGAAAAACAGCAGTGTGAGGCGGATGGGAACAAAGAGCTCCTCGAAGGGGATTTTTCCAACCCAAATCAACCTCAGCACCAGGGCCGCTCCTGATTTCCTGCGCAGGAAGGCAGAGGCTGTAAGCATCCTCTGGAGACTAGGGTGTTCTGCCTGGCTGGTTCTGAGCGCATGAATATTATTGACCCAGAATTTCTCAGCAACAGTACAGTGGATCAACCCTCCCTTTTCCAGGGCAATGGTCTGATCAAATCAAATAAATGACCAAGTCCTCCCAGGGCTGCCTATGTCTACTGGATCTCTACACCTTGTCACAGACCCTGCTTGATGCACCTCACATCAGACTCACTTTGGTCCCCACTGTCACAAACTTAGTTCAGGCTCTATGCCCTTGTAACTCCTCTGATTGATTTCCTAAATATCCTGTTTGAAAAACCTTTCCTACTATCTGTAGACTGCTCAAATTCCTTAGCCTTGTATCTCCAAGTCCTGCGATCTGTCCCACTTGTCTTAATCGATCCCTTAGTTGGACACACATTCATGCATGCCTATCTGAACTTATTGTAGATACTCCTCTGACCTTGGGCTTGCTCTGTCCTTGACAGAGAGGCTCTCTCTTGTGTTTCCTTCACATCATCCCATTCTAACTTTCTTCAAAGACCAATCTCATTCTATCTACTCATAAACCCCCCATAGCAATGCTGCTGTAACTACTAAACTCTCAGAAGTAATGGGCACCACTCATGGATGACCAGCAGAGACACTCTCGTACCGGGACAGACATTCTGTGGGTATGTCCCACTAGATATGTTCCCACTAGACTAAAAATGCTTCCAGGACAAGGGCTGGGTCATCTATCCCTGGGCCGTGCACCTAAGAAGCACTCAAATGCTCACTACTGTTAATCTGCTTTACTTCAGCACCTATAAGTAAAGGGTATTAAAGAATCTTTGAAGTTTGCTTTTGTGTACTGTATGTATTTCACTACTTATAAATGTTGCATGATTCAGAAGAAAAAAAAAATAACCTATCCTAGAACCTCGACTGAGTGGACATTCATTGGTCCTGAGAGTTTATCAAGTGCCCACACAGAGCATGATGGAAGATAGAAGGATGTCAGATAACAGAGCTGTGGAGCCTACCATTTAGTTGGGGAGATAAATTTTCTATTTGCCAACAAGTCAGAGAATACCAGTAGGAAGTATTTTTATTTAGTATCATGGGGTTTTTGGAAAACAACAAGATCACAGAAATAGGAATGACTGTTATTTTTGGATATGGTGCACTTGGTCCATGTCTATGAAATTTACCTAGGAAGCAAGTTTTGCAGAGATCCATATCGCTGCACTGCAGACACCGGTAGCGATGCCAGGGGGCAATCTCATCACACCCATCACAAGAGATGTCCACATTTAACAGATCACAGTAGCGAGCAATGAACATGTGCATCTGTAGGTGAGATAAACACAATTAATCAACAGACTCCCTAATGTGGCCACTATTCTCTAAACGATTCAGTCATTCAACAGGCACTTAAGAGGTCCCAGGTACTGCACTAGGTGGTAAGATCTGAAGATGAGTCGGCTCAGTGTCTAACTGGGAATGCCCCGAGCACAGAGATGATGGATAACCACGCGGTATGATGAGTGCTTGATTTATAGAACAAAGAAGATGCCTATCAATGGGTATGAGGTAGGCCAAGGAGGGTTTTCCAAAGGAGATAATCCCACAGTTGAGATCTGTGTGACAAAAAGGTATTAGTAGGGTAGGGGTATGGGTAATGGGCATGTCAGAAGAATTTCCAAGTTCTACATGAGGCAAAAAGGTTTAGGAAATTGCATTGACTCAATTTGTAGAACAGAACATAGAGGGGGAGTAACTGGATGATGTTAGAGGGTTAAACCACAAAGGGCCCTGAATGTGAGTCTAAGGAACTATCAACTACTTTTAAATAGAACAGTAATGTAATCAGATTTGAATATTCTAAAAGCTCCTTTTGTTGCTAAGCAAAGAAAGGATTGAAGTGGGCAAGATTAGATTCAGGAAGACTGACAGCAATAGAAGCTGTTAAAGTAACCCATGCTAGGGAATGAGGGCAGGAATGGAGCAGTTAGCAGCAGGATGGTGAGTGAGAGGTGGCGGATTTGAGAGGTAATGAGAAACCATGGTGACTGACTGGACATGGGGGTCAGCTAAAAGGAAGGGTCAAGGGTGACATCCACATTTCTGGCTTGGGTACTTGATTGGACAATGGTAGTGTTCACAGATAGAGGAAACACTGCAAAAGGAGCATTGCTTCCTGGCAAAAAGAAAAACTTGGGCCAGCCTATGGCGTGGTGGTTAATGTGGCTGGATCCTACAGGACCAGCTATACGGGTTGAGTCCCAGACGCAGCAGCTGGAGAAACATGCTGGGTGCACGTGTATGTGTGTGCCCAGAATCGCCAAAGGAGGAAGAGATGGAGAAGTGATTTCTGCATAGCCATTCCCCACGGGAGTGCCTTCTCACTTTCTCTCCCTCCCTCTTCTCTCTCTCTGTCTTCAGGGAACACACATGCCTTCTGGCAACATTTTATAAAATAAAAGAAAAGGAAAACTCCCTGGGGAAAGATAGTAAGGTCACTGCTTCATAAGCAAATAAATCATACAAATTATGTCACTGAAAGTACTTGGAGGCTACTGTACTTTAGAATACTTTAGTACTTGGGACCAGCGGATGGAGTAATGGTTAGTTACATCACTGAACTCCCATGTAATCGATCGCGGTTTAAGTCCTGGACCCAGCAGCTTAAAACTCATGCTGGGCACGTAAGCATGCATGCCCCAAATCCCAAGAGGAAAATGGAGGAGAAGGGACTGCAGCATGGCCATCTCCCCCAGGGGGTGATTTCTTGCTTTCTGACTCTCTGTCTCTCTGGCAAGTGCATGTGTTCTATGGCAAAAATCTCTCTAAAAAAGAAGAATACTTTAGGCAACACATTTTCATAGTCTGAAAGTGAAGGAACTAAATTGAAATCACCAGAATACTACAAGACCATATCCTAGTGGACCAGGACATGCTAAGAACTGAGAATGGCTCCCCATCAGACATGAACATACAAGAGGGAAAAAGTCACAAAGGCTGGCTGGCATGCTCCCTCCAAGCACCACAGAGGGGCGATGTGAACAAAGCGACTGGCACATAGTAGGTGCTCAGAACTCAGCAAATGGATGACTGTGAGGCAGAGGACACCTGGCATGTGTGACAGTGACAGATACAACGCCTAGGGAGGAGGTGACACAGCAGGCTCTCTGTGCCTGATGCCTTCACACATTTGGATCATGTAACTGATCCAGTTGCTTCCTTGCTCACCGGACAACCTTCTGGGTGAAACGGTGCTTCCATGTCACCTGCCTGCAGGAAGAGAACATGAGAGCCCAGGCCTTTCAGTGACGCTTTCTCACACTGGAAATGAACGAGTGAGCACCTACTGTCATACACCAGTCTCACGACCCCAATTCATGTGAGTCTAGCTCTCTGGGAGGGAGTTGCTCTCTGAATGTGGTCAAATCAGGACAGCACCTTGGGTTAAAGATCAGACACCAGGGTACTAAATGCCACCTGGAGCCCTCTAGGGAGAGCCTGCCGGCACCGCCCCAGCAGACTCTCCTCTCCAAACTCCCAGCAGATCACTTCAGATGACTAGATCTAGTTGAGAGGTCTTACTTTCCTCTGCTTCTCTGGATCTTCCTGGGCTATCTTTTCATACCAGGCCTCAAACATGCCATCCTGACACTCATCCATCCATTCTGAATTCTGCTTGGCATCAGCGAGTTCATCTTCTTCACTCCATTGGCTGAAAAAAGGACATAAAGACAGAAAAGCATGCCTCTACCAAGAACCAAGGAAAGTGTTGGTTAGCGGACTCTCGGTCCTATGGGTCTAACATCTTGAACATTTTAAAACTGCTGAGGGGAAAAGGTCAGTTGCTCTTAAAAGCTGCCGGATCTATCAGCTATTTGATACACATATACCAATAAAAGGGAATGGTGCTTTCCAGATTTGACTACAGTGGGTGAGGAATCAGAGCCTGAAAGGTTGAACCTTTATAGCATAATTCCACTTGAGAACCACTTGGGGAAAAGCTACCATTGGGGCCAAGTAAAGTGATTTTAAGAGAGAAGTTGGATTTGGACATACTCAGCATGTCCTAGCAGAACAAGCCTGAGAAGACAATCAGGAAACCCTATGACCTCAGCTACGCCACTAGCCACTTTTGACCTTGACACATTACATAGCCCTGGTCCTCAGTTTCTTCATTTCAAATAAAGGGTTTCAGATGGATCACTTCATAGACTCCTTTAAGATATAAAATTACAAATTTCTGTAAGTTTCGTTTATAGTTCATTTTAGCAACTAGAATGGAAGCGAAGGATTTGCTTCGTAGCAGATGTAAAATATTTAGCGGCCATAAAAACACACATTCATTCATTCCAGGTTCCAGCATCGCCTCTAAGAGGCCTCCTTGCTCACAGCTTTGGGCGGGGTGTTAGGAGGGATGGGTGTGGAGGGTGCGGTTCTACTCTCAAGGACTGTTTCGTGCAGCTATGGGCAAGGCCTGAAGCAATGAGGAAGGACAGCATGCTGATGTCCCTCTTCCAGCAATGTGTCCTGTCCCTCTCTCTTCTAACAGTGCCATCTGACAACAGGGCAATGGTGAGGTTAAAATGAGACACAGCCTTAATTCCTATCCCCCTTTCCCAAAATATGTCTTCAGAGAGAGTGGACTTGACCCAGTGTTGACACATTCACTTATTTCCTCCCAATCCTCTCCTGGTAACTCTTGCTTTTCATCTCCCATTCTCTTCTACATACGAGTGAGCAGGGCAGAGAGATGCTTGTCAAAATTGAAAAGGAGAAAACAATTTCACATATCTTTTTCAAAGACCTTGTAGTGTGCAAGAGGCTACAGCGACTAATGAAACACATACGTGTAATAGCAACAACAACAAACTAGAAAAGGCAATTCAGCAAGCTACTGGGGTGTCAGAAAAGTCATAACATTTTTCCACACAAACAAAAAAACCTCATGATTTTTCCGACAACCCAATATACAGGATCTCTAAAAATGCAAAGCATCCCCTCATCCTCAGATTCACAATATCACCCCTACCAATTTACACAGCGCTGCTCTGCACCAGACACTGCTCTAGACATCTGAAAACACAACTGTGTAATCTTCCAAGCCTCAAAGATGGGTACCATTATTGACTCCAGCTCTAAAGATGAGGAAACTGAGGCACAGAGTGGTTCAGTACCTTGCCAAGGTCAGCTAGTATGTGGCAAAGCCAGGATTATCACACAGATAGTCTAGCCATGCTCTTAGCCCCACGCTGTGGTCCCTGTACTCATCACCTACTTCAGGAACTGCAGGATGCCGGGCTGCGCTCTTACCTGATCACACTGTCATGGACACTTATATTTTCTTGAGACATTTTCATGAGGAGATCTGGTAACTGAATGTCAACAAAAAAGGCGAGATCACTGGGTTCCCAGCCCATGTCCAAGAGATGAAGCAGGGCTGTCTGAACACAGGATAAGGCAGGCAGCAAGGACCTAAAGACGCCATAAAGGTGACAGTTATCCAAACTGCCCATTTCCAATGGAGACGACAGATACAATGCAAGCCAGTGACCTGGTTTCTATGTAACTGGAAAGCAGAAGGGAACTCCGCATGGCTGATTTGAGTTCATTTTTAGAGAGATTTCTCATACTCCATGTACAAATATTCCTCGGTTTAAACAAAAGAACTCTGAAAGGAGTTTTCCATCTTGCCACGACTACCACAGGGGAAGCTTATGATAAAGGGCTGAGTAGTTATAAGTCACCTCCCAATAAATAGTAAGATTGGGACCAGTTCCAAATTAGCCAAGAACCATCTGATTTAAGGTTTATGTCTAAATCACTTACGAAAGAGAAAACGGGGAAATGCCAGTTTTTCCTTTAATTGCTAGAGGGCACATACATAAGTGGGTGAGTGAGAGAGAGCAGAAGAAGGCATCCCCAGAGAAGCATGGTCACATAGCAACCCCTTCTCCATTTCTTCATCCTGTTGGGGTTTGTGCACATGCGCACACATGCACACACGCCTGTATCACCAGGGTCAGGATTCAGACTGCAGTCAGCCATGCGAGATCTGGCTGCATTAACTGCTAGGCCATGGGGTTGGTCCTGGGAAATGGCTTTATATTCAAGTTTTAAAACTGCACCTAATGCATCAAGAACTGAAAGTAATTCTTAGATTAGGCAAGATACATTCTCTTTTTTAAAAAAAATGTACATACTACATAGAAAAAAGATTGGAAGAAAATATACTTAGACATTAATATCAATGATTAGAGGTTATTTTCATTTTAATTTCATTCTTTGTACTCTTCTACATTTTCAGCATTAAAAAAATATTTTTCTTTTCTTTTTCTTTTTTTTAATTTCGCCAGAGGGTGTATGCACTTACAGAGGGTTGGGGGAAGAGGAGAAAGAGAAAGCAACCCACACAGGGAATGATCATGTCACAATCCCTTCTCCCTTTCTCCCTCCCTCTAGGACTTCGGGCACACACACATACCCGGCATGTTTTTCAAGCCACTGGGTCTGAGACAAAGACGGTGTGGTCAGCCATGTGGGATCTACCATGTGGCCACCTTAGCCACCACGTCATGAGCTGGCCCAGAGCATGAATTTCTTTTATAGTCAGAAAAATTTTTTTTCTCTAGAAATTTAAAGTTATCCATTACCTGTCATTTATGTTACTAAATCCTTTCATTGCTTTAACCAAAAACAGAACAAGTTGATAGTATGTGTTTCGGATCTCTCTGTGTAGATCAGCACCACACCCTTCCAAGTGTCCGAAATAGCTAAAAATAGAAGAAATCACCGACTCACTCAATTGTTAGAACATCTTTCACTTAATAATCATTCCTTAATGGAAAAGAGTGAAGAAGCAAAATAAACTGGCACAGGAACAGAATACAAATATGATAAAGTAACCGACAAAACAGCAAGTGGGTCCATTGGGCCGGCTGAGGACAGTAACCCAACAGAAGTACAATGATTTATTTTTCTTTGTGACAATTATTGACAATGACTTATCTTTCTCTGTTAATATAAAATACTCCTCTCCTGGTTATTTGAGTGCTAGATATTATGTTCATGATGTTTCACAAATTATCTCATTTAATCCTTTCCACACAATCACACCTACCCTGCTGTCTCCATTCATTGAAGACATTAGCATCAGGCTCACTGTCTTCTTTCTCTTGATTCTTTTCACCACAGTGACTTCAAAATCCACATTAATGGGAACCAGCAGTTAGCGTAATGGCTATGTCGCTGGACTCCCACGTAGTCGACCGCAGTTTGCGTCCTGGACCCGGTGGCTTAAAACTCACGCCGGGCGCGTGTGCGTGCATGCCCAAGATCCCGAGAGGAGAATGGAGGAGAAGGGATTGTGACGTGACCATCCCCCCTGGGGGGTGATTTCTCGCTTTCTGTCTCTATGTCTCTCTCTCTGTCTGTCTGGTGAGCACACGCGCTCTATAGTGAAAATCTCTCCAAAAAAAAACAAAAACAAAAACAAAAACAAAACACGTTAATGATGCTTCCATTCCATTTTCTCTCTTTTTTAAAATTTTATCATAAAGTTTAATTATTGTTCAGAAAAAATCGAATGAATAACTTTTTCTGAGAAAATATATTGACTCTGTGAAGACTGCAGTTATTGAAAGGAAGGAGAGCTGGTAAGTTACCCGATTTTCTGTTCTGAAAATGACAAAAAGTTCCATTTCCAGTTTTGTTATAAAGATATGTGTGCCCAAAATGGCTGAGAATAAATACAAGAAGAAAAGCAAAAGCCATAAAGCTAAGGGCATGCAAGAAACATCTCAGAAATACCCAGAGCGGCAATAAGGAACGTTTGGCTGGAATTTGAAGTTCTCTCAGTCGTCTTTGTCTTTTGCTCCATGTTTAAGGATGCGTGTGAACTCGATGTAATTGAAATTCCCTTTTTTGTCAATAGGTGCTTCTCAGTACAGCTCGTCCACCTCCTCATCTGTAAAACGGTCCCCCATTGTGGTCAGCAGCTTCCTCAGGTCGTCCTCCTGAATGGTGCCAGTTGCTTCTTCATCAAAGCAAGCAAAAGCATTTCTGATGACATCTAATGAATCTGTGCCATTTAGCTTTTCAACAAACATTGTAAGAAACATGGTGAAATTGATGGGGCCTGGAGCCTCATTCATCATGGCATCCAGGTACTCATCGGTTGGATTCTTCCCCAGTGAGGCGAGCATATCATGCAAATCTTCCTTGTTGATGAAACCATCTCTGTTCTGATCAATCGTGTTGAAGGCCTCTTTAAACTCCTGAATCTGTGACTGGTCAAACATGGCAAACACGCTGAGGGCGCTTTTTGGTGGTCTTGGTCTTTGCCCTTTTGCTCGACATGGTGGTGGTTAAATCCCTGCACGGCCTTGAGAATCCAAACACTTCAGTGGTCCCCTCACTGTGGTTATCCCATTCCATTTTCTCTTGATTCTCTATTATCTTCTCTTCCAATGATCTTTCCATGTCCTTAGGTATCACAGTTTTGAGGTCATGTCCTTGACCTTGTGGTGTCATCACCTCTGACCATAACCTCTCATTCTGCTATCAACTACAGGACTCTCACAACAGCATTTTCTTCAGTCCCGATGAGCCCCAAGCCATTACGCTGCCTCATGGTCACCGTCTACTATTCCTGACACGTGTTCTCTCTGCTCCCTTCTGAGCTCAGCTTCCATAGCTCATCATCGTAATCCTACCTCAGCAAACATCAACTTCCTTGCCTATCTTTCTTTGTATACTTCCCGAGAAATCTTACACCTACATCAAAACAGATACATGTTGCTGGAGGAAACACCACACAGCCAGGAGGACTGGTGTAATTTCAAACTCACAAACACCATTCTCAAATAAGCACTCAAATTATTAGGCAATCTAATAGACTGGCTTATAACTCAATTTTCATTACTATCTATTAATAAAACTTGACTGTTTCTCCTTAAACTGCCAGTACCCCTCAAACTTCATTTTTTGCTGATAACTAGCCTCATATTTTATTAAAAAGAAATAGATGGACCAGCAGATGGTGTAATGGTTATATCTCTGGACTCTCATGTAGTCCACTGCAGTTTGAGTCCTGGACCTGGTGGCTTAAAACTCACCCTGGGCACGTGTGCATGTGTGCCCAAGATCCTAAGAGGAGAATGAAAGAGAAGGGATTGTGGCATGGCCATTCCCCATTGGGGGTGATTTCTTGCTTCTGTCTCTCTGTCTCTCCAGCAAGCACGCTTGCCCTATAGCAAAAATTTCTCTTAAAGATAAAAGAAAGAAATAGAAATGGTATTCTTTCATTTTTGCACCACCAAATCTACCAACCAAATTTGATTTCTATGGACACCATCTGTATGTCCTGTTTCTTCCTCCCACCACAGATAAAACCTTCTTGATTCTATCAAAAGCCAACCTTCCTACTTAGGCAACTGCTACTGTCCCCTCTCTTCTTGTATCATGCTTTTCCTCATTACTGACTCATTCTCATCAGCATATAAAGGTATTCTAATATCTTTTCAGTTTCCTCAGTTGACTACACAACACTCTACACTTATTGCCCTATTTCTCTGCTGTTCTTTTTTCTTTTTTATTTAACTTTATTTATTTACTTACTTATTTTTAAATTTGACCAGAGAGGGTTTGGGTGAGGGGTAAGAAAGCAAGCTGCCGCATTAGTCATGTGGGAGTCCTAATCATCACGCCACCTGCCAGCCTCAATTTCTCTGATGTTCTTAAGGCCGTATTTTCTGAAATAATTATATATGGTATCTCTCTCTATTTTCTCATCTCCATTCTCCCCTCAACCCAGTCTAAATGGGCTTTTGGCCCCTTGGCTCCAATAAGACTGCTGTCAAGGCTAATTTTTTTTTTTTTTGAGAGGTTTTTGCTATAGGGTGCGTGTGCTCGCCAAAAAGCCAGAGAAAGACAGAGAGGCAGAAAGTGAGAAATCACCCCCCAGGGGTGATGGCCATGCTGCAATCCTTTCCTCCTTCCTCCTCTCGGGATCTTGGGTACGCATGCACATGCACCCGGTGTGAGTTTAAGCCTCCGGGTCCGGGACTCGAACGGCAGTTGACTACATGGGAGTCCAGTGACATAGCCATTATGCCAATTGCTGGTCCCAAGGCCGATGTGTTTTTTATTTCACTCCAACTCTTACCACAAAATTTGACACAATTCATCATTCCTACCTTTTGGGTCCATTCTTCTCTTGCTTTTATGGCACCACCATCCCCTAGTTTTTGATCTACCTCAACAGCCTCTGCGTACTGATCTTCTTAACTAATTCTTCTTCTCTGCTTGACATCTAAATACTCCTAAGAACTCCTAAGGCTCAGATCTGGCCCCTTCCCATCTATCTCTGCACTCTTTCTAGAAGGTCTCATGATTATAAGTTCCATTTATATGCTGGTGGCATCCATATTCTATCCCTAGTCCCAAGTTCTTTCCAGAAGTTCAAACTCTGATCTTTGCGTAGATGTCAAAGAAGAGTTCAAACTTAACATGGTTAAGTCAAAACTTTTGATTTTCACCTCAACCTGTATCTCCCATATTCTTTCCTTTAATAAAATGCATCACCGTCCACCTAGCTGCACAAACCCAAATCCTAGGAGCTTCTTTCCCCATGATTACTTTATTCATTCACCCTCTGTGTCTAATCTGTCAGTAAGTCCTCACATTTCTACCTTTAAAATAGATCCTGCAGGACCAGCAGATGGTGTAATGGTTACATCGCTGGACTCCCATGTAGTCGACCACGGTTTGAGTCTAGGACCTAGAGGCTTAAAACTCACTCTGGTGTATGTGCGTGCGTGTGTGTGTGTGCCCAAAATTCCAAGAGGAGAATGGAGATGGGATTGTGGTGTGGCCATCCCCCTGGGGGTGATTTTAGCTTTCTGTCTCCCTGTCTCTACAGCACCCTAGAGCAAAAAATCTCTCTTAAAATATTTTATTTATTTATTTTTTAATTTATATGAAACCTGCATCTCATCCTTTTCTGTCGATCTTCAGTAATGTTCCCTGATTCAAACCATCACCATCTCTCACCTGCACTATTGCACCACTGTCCTAACTGCTTTTGTTACCTCCACCTATTTTCACATAGTAGCCAGAGGTTTCTTCAATAAATACAATTACAGTGTGTTCCCCTGGTCTTAAAAATCTCCAGCTGTTTCCACCTACAGCTCAGTATAAAATCCAAACACCACATTGATAAGGGTCCTGCATAACTTTCTGATCTCGTCTCATCCCATCTTCCCCCTCAGCCACACTGGCTGTCTTCCTGTCCTTTGGGCTAATTCCTCACTCCAGAGCCTTTGCCTTGTTCCTTCTGCTTTAATGCTCTTTGCTCTGATTTTAGCTCATCGTTCTTTTTTTTTTTTTTTTTTTTAGGATTTTTGCTCTAGCACATGTGTGCTCACCAGAGACAGAGAGAGACAAAGAAAGAGGGAAAAGTGAGAAATCACCACCCAGGGGAATGGTCACACTACAGTTCCTTCTCTTCCATTCTTCTCTTGGGATTTTGGGGACCCATACACATGTGCCTGGCATGATTTTTTTTTTTTCTTTGAGAGATGTTTGCTATGGGGTGCGTGCACTCACCAGAGAGACAGAGACAGAAAGTGAGAAATCATCCTCAAGGAGGAATGGACATTTCCACAATCCCTTTTGCTCCACTATCCTCCTGAGATTTTTTGGCATGCACACAAACGTGCCTGGTGTGAGTTTCAAGCTACTGGGGGTCGACCACGTGGGAGTTTAGCGTCTCAACCATCATGCCACCTGTTGGTACCTCCTGTCATGATTTTCAAACCCCTGGATATGGGACCCAAACTGCAGATAGTCGTGTGGGAATCCAGCACCTTAATCACCATGCCACCTGCTAGCCCCAGCTCATCATTCTTTTTTTAAAGAATTATTTATTGGCGCCAGAAGGTGGCCTGGTGATTAAGGTGCTAGACTCTCACATGGCTGACCACGGTTAAACTTCTGGACCTGGTGGCTTGCTTCCTCACTCTCTCTTTCTCTCTCTTTGGTCAAATTGAGAATAATAATAATGAACAGGTAAAGTTAAATAAATAATTCTCTTAAAATTACTTATTTATCAATATTATTATTATTATTATTTAATTTGCTACAGGGCACGTGTGCTCACCAGAGAGAAATGAGGGAGAGAAAGTGGAAAAAAAAAAGCCACCAAGTCTGGGATTTGAACCACAGTTGAGCATGTGGAAGTCTAGCACCTCAACAGCCATGCTACCTGCTGGCCCCTCCTCATTCTTGATTCACATGTCATCGCCCCAGTCTGCCTTCCCAGACTACTCGAACTATTAAATCACTGTACAGCGGTATCACTACCTAATATTTGTTTATTCACCTAGTCTCTCTCTTTGTCCTCAATAGAACACAAGCTTCATTGGAACAGGGACTGTGGTTGGCCTTGTCCACTGCCATATATACAACACCTAGAATAGTGACTGGCATGGTAGACACTCAAAAACTATTTATTGAGCGAATGTTAGAGCTACCTTGTGAGGTATGCAATGCCCTTACTGTAAGTGAAGATTACATTAAGCTCACAACATCCAGAAGTCAAATGATGAGTATGGGGATAACAAATACACCTCTCACTGCCTAATAAAACAAAACTGATTAAATTACAAGGAGGAATCAACATGTTCCAGGTGCCCATTTTTCCTTGGGATAAGAGAACAAATTAATCAAAAATACAAGATTTTACCTCACATGGTAATGATGGAGTTATTAATTAGAGAAGACAATCAGGATTTCTTTAAAATGACCTCTGTTTTCCTTATAGACTTCTCATTTGTACTTACTTGGTGAAATCTTTCTGGCAGGTCAGAAGTTCCAACAGGAAAAGTATAAAAGGTGGATGGAAGCAATGGGGCTGTCCGAGGGATTCTGCACAATACTGGATTATCCTCAGGACCTCAAGGATGCTCTGGGCTTGGGCTTTCCTCAGGGAGAGAACCTTTACGACACTGAAGACAAAAGTGAAGTCAGGAACACCCAGAAAACTCTTGAGCTGGCGCAGAAGGAAAACATACCCTCCACCTAAGTTCTGATGCCACATTAACACAAAGGGAATACTCCCGTGAGGTACTGGAAATCCATGCAGGAAAACATCACTACTTGTTGACTACTTTCCATCAGCACTCAGCAGCATTACACATCAGTTCATAATTGTTCTGAAGTCCCACAACCCATTTTCAAAAATCAACTCATTAAAAAGGAACTTTGATATCTTCACTTCCCTACAGAGACACAGCTTTAATTCTTAGGAAATTCCACACTAACTTAAAACATGCAAAACTTCCAGAAATGTAGGCTCATGGACAAATAATTTTGTTGGAAAATATCAAGTCCTAGATTTCTCCCAGGGCTCAAATAAGACACATTTATGGGACCAGCAGTTGGCATAATGGCTATGTTGCTAGCCTCCCATGTAGTCAACTGCAGTTTGAGTCCCGGGTCCTACGGCTTAAACTCTTGCTGGGTGCGTGTGCATGTGTGTCCAAGATCCTGAGAGGAGAACAGAGGAGAAGGGATTGCAGCATGGCCATCCCCCAGGAGGTGATTTCTCACTTTCTGCCTCTGTCTCTCTCTGTCTTTATGGCGAGTGCACATGCCCTATTGCAAAAACGTCTCCAAAAGAAAAGACATATTTATAAGTAGCAGTTACCAAAAGAAATGTTTCCGTTTTTTAAAAAAACTAACTACATGCTCTTGAGATACACTTTACATACAGTAAAATCGACACCTGTTAAAATGAAAAATACTTCTTTAGAAGAAATGAAAATCAAAATTTTTCTTAAAATATTCAAAAATAAGTCTTGATCTATCTAAATCTCATTTGCTCATTTTTTTTTATAGACCACAGATTAGTTTATTTTTAATACCCATCAAGCCATGAATTCATAGGGAATAGGTTCCAGTAGCTCAGGCTCCTTTCCATTGGTTCTCACAAAGTGTGCTTCTCTGGGTGGAGCAGGCTGGCGCTTTAGTTGAACCCCGGTACCTTTCTCTTTGGCTTTCTTCTTTTTCTGGTCGTTTTCCTTCACACGTTTTCGGAAGCTATCTCTGCTCTTAGAATGCTTAACATGCTCAATACGCACATTGATTCTCTTGGCAAGAATCTTGCCCTTAACTTGTTTGTTTACAACAATGCCAACAGCATGCTGGGTGACATTGTAGACTCTTCCAGTTTTGCCATGGTAACATTTGTGGGGCATTCCTTTCTGAACAGTACCCATTCCCTTAATGTCTACAATATCACCTTTCTTGTAGATTCGCATATATGTTGCCAAAGGAACCACTCCATGTTTTCTAAAAGGCCTAGAGAGCATATATTGGGTGCCTCTTCTCTTTCGCTTTGTGTATGTCATTTTGGTTAATTACTGGAAGATGGTGGTTCCGGCCAAAAGGCTCATTTGCTCATTTTTAACAAGAACATCACGCCACTGACTAGACTGGGTGCCAATGGCCTGAAAAGAGAAAATGCAGGGAAGGTGATGGTGGCTCACCTCTCGTGTGAGACTGACTGATCCTTGATGAAGTCCATGACATCCTTCAGTACAGGGTACTTCTCTTTTACAGTGGGCACCGGTCTGGCTTCCTCCACAGATCGGAAGGAGAGCAGCCGGAGCCGTCCTCGGGTGAAGGGAGGCCGCCGGGTGGGAGTGGAGGGTGACGAGGGCTCGTCAGCTGTGGCAGAGGACACTTCTGCAACGGGAGGGCTACTCCTGGGCAGCGGCTTTGGCTGCACACCTGAGCCAGGACTCTTGTCTCCTGCGGTAGCGGGCGCTGCTTCCGTGGGAGATGCTGAGGCTTGGAAATGCTCTTCTACCACAGAGCTGGTCCTCGGGCGCCTGTCAAGTGGCTGGAGATGATCAGTTTCCTCGGCAGGCACCAATCCGTCACAGCTTTCTTTTGAACTCATGCCCGTGGGCAAAAATTTTAGTAATAGAAGACTCTTCTGAATACACTCTTTTGCTAAATACAAAACAAAACAATAATGATGAAAATAATATCAAAATTAAATTTATTGCCTACTTTTAGAGAGAAAACAACCTTCAGACTTCACAATTTAGGGCAAGAGACACTTTAATTAATACAACGATAGACACGCTTACTGATAGAATAGGATCAAATTTTATCTCCTTATATAAATCAAAATCTTGTCAGAACACTAAAAAAGTTATGGTAGATACTTTCAAGACATATTCAGAGAGAACAGTAAAAAGACTGCTCTGTACCTATCACCCAAGTTCAATAATGATCAATTCATGGCCAATCTTATTTTAAGCCTATGCACTCCCTACTCTCTGGGCTATTTCCATGCAAATCCCAGGTCTCACATTAATTCATCTATAAACACTTCGGTATACTTGTCTTAAAAAATTGAGAGTTTTAAAAAAATAACATCGGGACCAGCAGTTAGGGTAATGGCTATGTTGCTGGACTCCCATGTAGTCGACCACAGTTCGCGTCCCGGATCCGGTGGCTTAAAACTCACGCCGGCTGTGTGTGCTTGCGTGCCCAAGATCCCGAGAGAATGGAGGAGAAGGGATTGCAGTGTGGCCATTCCCCCCTGGGGGGTGATTCTCGCTTTCTGTTTCTCTGTCTCTGTCTGTCTGGCGAGTGCACACGCCCTATAGCGAAAACCTCTCCAAAAAAAAAAAAATAATAATAATAAAATAACATCAACTTTGGACCAGCAGCTGGCATAATGGCTATGTCACTGGACTCCCATGTAGTCAACTGTGGTTCGAGACCCGGACCCAGTGGCTTAAACTCACACCAGGCACATGTACATGTGTGCCCAAGATCCCAAGAGGAGGGTGAAGAAGAAGGGATTGTAGCATGGGCATCCCCCCGGGAGGTGATTTCTCGCTTTCTGTCTCTCTGTCTCTGTCTTTCTGTCAAGTGCATGCACCCTATAGCAAAAACCTCTCAAAATAAAAAACATAACATAAACATTGTATCATTAACAAGTGAATAGTAATTCTTCAATTTCTCTAAACATTCAGTGTGAGCACACTTTAAAAAGTAACAACATGAGACCAGTAGATAGCATAATGGTTATGTCGCTGGACTTCCATATCGTGGACTGTGGTTTGAGTCCCAGACCCAGTGACTTAAAACTCACACCAGGTATGTGTGCATGCATACCTAAGATCCTGAGAGGAGAATGGAGGAGAAGGAATTGCAGTATGGCCATTCCCTCCCCCCCCGGGGGGGGTCTTTCTTTCTGTCTCTCTGGTGAATGCACTCCCCCTACAGTAAAAATCTCTCTTAAAAAAAAGTAAGAGGCCAGCAGATAGCATAATGGTTATGTTGCTGGACTCTCACATGGCTGATCACAGTTAGACTCATGGACCCAGTGGCTTGAAACTCACACTAGGTGTGTGTGCATATATGCCCAAGATCCCAGGAGGAAAATGAAGGAAAAGGGAATGTAGTGTGGCCATTCCCCCTGGGAGAGGGTGACTTCTCACTTTCCCTTTCACTGTTTCTATCTCGCTCTCTCCCTGAAGAGCGCATGCACCCTCGGGTAAAAACCTCTACAAAAAACAGTAACAACATGCAGCTCAAACACATCTGATGCCTCCTATGAGAAGCAATGAGAAAGATGCTCCACTGAGCTCATTAACAATGACTCCTCTGTGGCATTTTCTCTCTTTGTGGTACACCCTTGAAAATGACACTCAGCGCCTGTACGGCTTTCCCTAGGTCGACAAGCCTCAGTTAAAATAATCAGGGGTGGGGGGCTTACTGGTTCTCCAGGCTCTGAAATGACAGCAGCTGGCATTGGCACACTCACCCAGGCTCTCGGGGTTGGTCTCAGCAGCTTCTGAACTGCGTTTGTCTTCTGCCTCATTCCCCAGGCTCATCAGGGACTTCTGCTTCATCTCTAACTGGGGGGAAAGATTTGCACCACATAATCATGCTGTCCAGACAGGGCACAAGGCAGCCACAGCAAACTACTTCAGAAGCACGTGGTGCTGGATCATGGAGTACTGTACAGTTACTGTCTAGCTACTGGGGACATAGGACTTTTATTTATCCTAGAAGTCATCCGGACTTTGAAGCTGTCTAACGATGTATCTGCAAAATTATCTTCTTTTCAACTATACTATACATTATTTGACCTTATTATTTAAAAAATCTAGAACACTAGTGCTGATGGGACCTTTACTAAAGTCTGCCTAGCACAGGTAAAGAAGCTCAGGTCTAGAGAACTGAAGGATCTTACTGGGGTCACCCATCCAGTTTCCTGCAGAGGTTGCACCAAAATTTGATTTCTAGTCTACCCTGAAAGAAGGGTCGCCTCTAAATGATGCTGAGACTTTTAGGCAGAAGGATGTTCTTAGTATCAGACCAGGTAATGGTCACAGCATGGGCCACAAGGCTGAAAGCCCAGGTAGAAGGTCACACGTGATGTATGAGAGGCCAACGTTTTAGAGAGAAAGCTGGCCTCTTGTCTGTCAGCAGTCTGTCCTGTGCTGAACCAGAGCATAATCTACAATGTGCAGTGTTAACTGCTAAATCCTTCCTACTTGGGCTGCCTACAGTACCGGACTTACCAGATATTCTTTTCTTTAAACTTCTACCACTGCCTTGGTTTCTCTGTCAACATATCCTTCTGATTCTCCTCGTCCCATTCTGATCATGATGCCAATTAGCTTCTTTTGAGAGACGCTGTTCATTTTGGTCTTGACCTGTCCAGTATATACTGGGTACCAACTATATACTTGTCATGGGGTTCTGCCCAAGGCTATTTGTTCCTGGATAAACGTGTGTGTGTGTGTTCTCATCCTTGATTTCTCATTTCTATGAAGTATCAGCCATTTAAGTTCTTTCATTCACTAAATTTTCTACCTAGATGTCTTAGGTAACCTAGGTGCCTTCATAGTCAACATGTCACTATCTGAATCTAGCTCCCTCTTTCCAAATTCAAAACCACTTTGTCCATCCTGATCAATGCTTCTACAACCCTCCAAGTCACCCACCCGGAACTCAAGAGTTGTCCTAAATCTCTCCTTCCTGTTCACCACTCACAATGATCATAGAACCCTATTCATTGTTTTACCTCCCAAACTGCAGAAGCCACCCTCATCTAACTACTGGGAGTAGTCTTCTGCTATCCAGTTCTATCCTCTACCTAGTCACTTGGAGATTTTTTTTCTCAATAACAGTCATCCCTTGGTTTCTGCAGGGATTGGTTCCAGGCTTTCCCATCAATACTAAAATCCACAGATGCTCAAGTCCCTTAGATAGAATGGTAGAAAACTTGCATGTTACCTATGTATATCCTTCTGCATACCTTAAATCATCGCTAGGTTACTTCTATTTCATATAATGCGAAGCTATATAAATAGCTGCTATACTGTATATACTGTATTTTTAAAGGAACAATGAAAAGAAAAAGGTCTGAACACACATGTCAACAAAAATGAAACATTTTCAGTGCACAGTTGGTTGAATCCATGTAGGCAGAACCTGTAGATATGGAGGGCCAACTGTACTATACATTAGATGCACTGAGGCTGGCAGGTGCCATGGTGGTTAAGGCACTGGACTCCCACATGGCTGACCACATGGTTCGAGTCTTAGACCTAGCAGCTTTCTCTCTCTCTCCCTGGTCAAACTGAATAATAATAATAAATACTTCTTTAAAAATGCATGTAAATATATAAATAGTAACATTAACATATAGGCACTCATCTCCTTGCTTAAGAAATAAAACGGTTCTCTTGAATTTGGTGTTTATTACTTCCAAGCATTTGTGTAATTTTACTACATAATTAACATAGACATGGTTTGTGTTTAAACTTATATGAGCAGTATCGTACTTATGCATTCTTCTTCAACTTGCTTTTTCTGCTCATCACCAAATTTGTGAGAGTCATCCACGTAGATACAAGTAGCTATAATTTGTTCACTTTCATTGTAATATAGTATTATATATTACACGGATAAAGTATTATACAGTGACATAACATACAATTTATTTCTTCTCCTCCTAATAGACATTTGGTGCTTCCAGGTTCTTGCTGTCACAAACAAGGGTGCAGAATCATTTTTCTAATATGTAGACCTGAGAGGTCTCTCTTCTGCTTAAAACTGGCACTAGTTCCAGTGGCCTTTGGGGTCACTAAAAGATGGAAGGAGGGCACAATGGAACCTTGCTGACCCTGAACTTAAACATTTACCAAATTAAAGCCTTGGAAAAATCTCAACTATTTCATATCTATTCATCACCAAACTATTTTTAAAGATTCCTGAGGCTATAGCCCAGAAATGAGAGCTACTTATCTAAATTTCACAATCTAGTGACGGGAAAACCAAAAGTGTATAAAAAATGCATACGAAGGGAAACCTTACCATCCATATTCTGATCCCATCTGCCAAGGAATACACCTGTGCAAACTCCTCACTCAGGGCGACCTTGCCCCCACTGTGTACTGGGGAAAGGAGGAGAATGAAGAGGTCACACTCAGTTAACTCCATTCACCACTGCAACATTAAGCACAAAGTATCTTCTAAAGTATAACAAAAAAAGTTTAAAAAAAAGTACACTTGACACACATTGGGAGAGGGTAAGAAATGCTTGGGGAAAATCATAAAAAAATCATGGGTACTCTGTGTTACTTCAAACCATTTTTTTCCCAATTAATAATATCTGTAATATTTACTAGTAAAGTAAAATATTAAAATTACAATATAAAAAATACTAAAGGTAAAATTAAAATCACTGTATTAAAGGTGGGTAAAGGGGCTGGCTGCACAGTGCAATGGTTAAGCACCATACACTGGAAGCTGGATCCCACACGGTCAACTACAGTTCACATGTCAGCCCTGGCAGTTTGGAAAACAACACTGGTGTTTAATGTGAGTAGCCGAAATCTTGACAGGATGGAGAAATGGAAGAAAAATAGATAAATAAAAGTGAGTAAAAATTATTACTAATATGGAATAAAGTTCACGGTAAATTTAAAAAGCATGTTATGACATAGTATAGACAAAATTATCTTATTTAAAATAAGTACAGGGACCAGCAGATGGAATGGTTACGTCACTGGGCTCCCACATAGTTGACCACAGTTTGAGTCCCAGACCTGCCAGCTTAAACTCATGCCAGGCGCATGTGTGTGTGTGTGTGTGCCCAAGATCCCAAGAGGAGAATGGAGGAGAAGGGATTATGGCATAGCCATCCCCTGAGGGGGTGACTTCTCACTTTCTGTCTCTCTGTCTCTTTCTGTCTCTCTAGCAAGCACACACACTCTATAGCAAAAAATCTCTCTCTTAAAAAAAAAAAAAATGGGTGCATAAGGTCAGCTCCGTGGTCTGGTTAAGGCAGCTGATCCACATAGTCACACTGTGGTTGGAGTCCCAGACTTGGTGGCTTGAAAAACATGCCAGGTGCATGCATATGTATGTCCAAAATCCCCAACGGAGGCAGAGATAAAGGGACTGGGGCCTCGTTGAAGGTGCTTTCTCCTCTCCTTCTGTCTCTGACAAGCATGCACACCCTCAAGCAAAAAAAAGTAAAAGTAAAAAAAAAGAAAAAGAAATTAAATGAGTATACATATTAAAAACATGGATGAATATATGCATATACTTATATACATACACGAATATACCTAGATAAAATGCCAGGTAGATATATAGAAAAATGTCAATAAAGGTGCTAAGTGGTAAGATTGCAGTTAATAATTATTTTAAGTTTTTCTGTACTGTGTAATTTCTCTGTATTTTTCGATAATTAGGGAAAACCACGTGAAGAAAGACCTATAAGGCCTTCCCTTCTCTTCATGTAAAAACCAAAATATAATAAATTCTAACAGTGTGAAGTACTCTGCTGCATTAATCTATAACATAGTAAATATTTACTGAAGCCATAGCATGCCAGGCTCTATAAATGGCACCAAAAATACACCCTTGACAAAAGAGAGCTGGTCTTTGCCCTTAAGCAGCTGATAGTTTAGCTGAAAAACTCTTACTTTTCTTGCCCCAAAGGGTGGCCAATTTTTATATAAAGATAAGCAAAATTGCTAATAAAGACCATTGTCCACATAGCTCGATCTTAAAGAGCTCATGGTAGTCCTTAGAGATGAGACCTGTACTACAAAGACAGCGACAGGAAGAATGGTGACAAACTGTCCTCTTCAAACCAGCGAAGGCAGGCATTCCAGAACAACCCGTGCACACAGTGAGGGCGTCCCAGTTCCCAAATCTGGCTGAGTGCTTCCCTGCCGCTAACAGGTATGTGATGTCCGAAGACTTCCTTTTTCAACTTTTAACCCATGAGGCTTTTATCCCTCCACTGAACATTCTCTTAAGTAATACAGATCGTCTAGCTTTCTTACTATAATTTGATTACAAAAGTATATATAACAAAGCCACATGGGTTATCTCACCACTCCCACCTCCATTGCTTAGCAGAGACATACTCTCTTATATGGCATTTGTTTCCACAAATCACTCAGGTCTCAATGTAGTTTTATTTCTTTAAGCAACTTTTAAAAGAACATATTAATATTTAAGGGAGTAATTGAGATGTTTTAGCAACCAGGAAATAAAATCTGTAATATAAGACCCAAAGGACTCATATCGCAACAGAGGTGGTAGTGATAACGGTACCAATAATAACAATAACACGAGAAGCTCCACGATCTACGCTAATGGAAGGAAGCATTTGCTTTTGTTTATTTCATCGGCATTGTGGAAAGAACACACACCTTCCCAAAGTGCTTGGGAAAATGCAGACCTCACCTTCAGGTAGGGTTTGAAATGGATTATTTACCCTGAATGAGCATAAGTGTAGAGACAGCCTCTCCCTCCTGTGGGCCCTGTTACACTGCAGGCTACACATACAGTAAATACAGAGATGGTATCCCTGGGGGACACGAGGAAAAGAAACAGTGAGGAGCAGGCTATCAACAAGGGAAGCCTAGCAGGGATGAGGCTACAAAGAAGCTGCAAGTCTGAAGTCAAGCGTTAATACCTACATTTTCCTTCTTGGTTATTAGCACATTCAATAACTGAAACATCTGTGGTCTTAATTGGAATTTCTTAGAATGTTAGTGTTAATCAACTCTACACCCATTTTACAGATGCAGAAACTGAGCTGCTGAAATGTTGTCAGATTAACTTAGAGCCGTACGACTTCTGTGTTTTTGAGCTGGGACTATGACCCAAGTTAAAGTTTCTTTCCATTAAAGTTCTTGGCAGTTTCCATGAGACTTCTGGGTAAAAACAAATTATTTGCTAATTGTGAAATTTAAGGCTATTTGCCATACATTACAATCTGCTAGCGATAAATTGGCCATGAAGCTTTCAATAAGGTAAAGATTACAACTACAGAAACGTGTTTATATTTTAAAATGTTTTAAGATTTTCCACTTAAGATAGCTTTTCTTAAAATGTGGCGATTAGCCTTCAGATCAAAACATTCCCTGTAATATAAGTTACCATATTTTTGCAGCTTCTCATATAAATCTGGAGTGCGATACACCAGAGCAGCAAAGGTGGCGTTCACAGCTTGATCAATAGCAGAACCAGCAACTATATCTGTCTTTGGGGCCTGTTTTCTACATGCCTGTATGAATCCTTTGAAAAGCTCTGAATATGGCCCACAGAAGTTCTGAGCAGGCTCTGACTGGGCAAAATCAAGGAGAAAATGACGGCAGGGGTCGTCAGGGATGTTCTTAACCTGGGAATAAAAAGAAACCACCATGTTTAACGTATTCATTCATTCAAAAAAAAAAAAAACCCAAAACTCACAGAGCACCTACTACGCCAAAGCAGAGGTATAAAACACGGCGCATACTCTCAGGAAGTTTAAGTCTATCTTAGGGAGACCAGATAGATACATGGGTTAAAGAAAAGAAAAACACAAATAAAATATTAAAGCATTAAAACTAGCACTAGCATAAAGCAAAAGATTTATCAAGTGCCAAAGGCCTAGAAGGGACACCCAATGCTGAGAATTCGAAGGAGAGAGGGCCTGGCAGGTTAAAGTAATTAAGAAAAGCCTCCTGGAGGATATGGGCTTTGGGCTGGACCCTAAAGGATGGGCAGTCTCGGCCCTGAGGAACGTAATCATTAGCAGAGGTTAAGAGTCAGTGGGGAGACTGACCTGGCCTGAAGTCACAGCTGGGGAGTGGTGGGAACTAGAGTCAGATAGGTAAGGTGAAAGACTGTAGAGAGCCTTGACTGTCACACTGAGGAGTTTAGACTTCACCCTGTGGGCAACGGGAGCCATTAATGGTGCTTGGCAGTAGAATGACAAGATAATGCAGTGATTTAAAAAAAAAAACAAAACAAAACAAAAAAAAAAAACAACTTGGTAGGTACCAATGTAATAATGCAGGAGCAAGAAGAGAGCCTGGAAGAAGATGGAGACAGTGGAAAGGGCGGAGATGGACATCACGGGAAGAATCCATAGGAAGGGTGAGAACGAGGTAGGTAGAAAGGGGCTGTTAGGGAGCGGTAGCTCAAGGCCTAAAGATACAATAATGACAACCACAGAAGCAAGCAGTCAGCGAGACAGTCCTGCTTTTATACTTCTCTCTTCTTTTTCTTCTTTTTAATGAGAGAAAGGAAAGGGGAGAGAGAAACAGAAGTGGTTGTTTGTTGTTTATTTTTAATTATTATTTTTTAGTTGCCAGAGAGACGGAGGGAGAAAGCCCCTCCCAGTGAGGGGTGGTCACATCACGATCCCTTTTTTCTCCATTTCTCCTTCCTGTCAGGATTTTGGGCACAAATGAACATGTACCTGGCAAGTTTTCAAGTCATACAAACTGGGATTCAAATAGCGGTTGACCATGTGGAATCTGGCTCCCAATGCACGGTGTTTAAACATGGTGCATGAGGCTGGCCTGAGAGAGGCATTTTTGACAGGGTCTCGCCACGTCAAGATCTTCCCACCCCAACCTCACACGCAGCCAAGACTACCAGGCACACACTACTGCACCCTGCTAGTTTCGGTTGGCCTGGGAATGGAACCTGGGCCTGTCAGTGCTCCCAGTCTCACACAGGCACCCTACCGCTTCTGCCACTGCAAGGGGCCCAGCTTTACACTTCTGAGTTAATGGATTCAGGGCATGAAAGGCCTAATGGGAAGATGGAGATGCATAACTAGAGCCTGGGAGAAGAACCAGCGCTGTAAACTGATACTTAAGAATTATTCCCACAGATGTGACAGAAGACAGTAGAGAAGATGAAGACTCTGTGGGTTGTGAGAAAGAGAAGGAAGCCTAAATAAAGCCTACTCTTTCGAGAGAAGGAATAAGAGAGGTCAATGAAGGAGGCAGATGGAGCAGTCAGAGAGAGGAGAACAGTGGACTGTCATGGAACCAGAAGAGAGGGTGTGAAGGAGCGAAGTTTTTCAGAGAGGTAAAGGAGAACAGAAGCTGAGAAAAAGCCACTGGAGTTGGCAATTAGCTACTGAATAACTTGGGGTGGTGGAGTAAAGAGGAGAAGTAGAACAGAAATAGAGGGCAGGAGAGATGAAAAATAGAGACGGAGGGCCAACCTGTCTAGTTTTTAAAATATCATGCACCTGAGTAGTAATGTCCTACAGTTCCAAGGAGAACAAAAGGTACAGCACAAACCAAGGGCTCTAAAGTCTGACTCAGCAGGCACTAGGAGTAGGCTCGACTTGTGAGTCTGATAACTCCATCAAGGGAGATTTACCGAAGAGTCACGCATTCGGTATTGCTGAACACCCACTCTACTCAGGGCCCTGTGGTACAAGTGGGGATAACGATGAACAAGGACAGCTTCTGCCCTCAGGGACCTAACAGTTCAATGGGAGTGACAAGATACAAACATGAATGTTTATCATTTAAAGTAACAAATGCAAATAAACGGTTTCCACTCCAAACAGAAAGGTAACAGAAGAGCGAATACCTCTTTACTATCCTGGTGTGGGTGAGTGGGCCAGCTTGCTTCTAATTCCAACTCTGGACAAATTTGATGCCTGAAGACAGGTTTCCACAATGGGGAGCTTAGGACTAAAGCCATTTTTGCCTGAGGTACTGCCATGTTAATTCCTAACTCTGGAAAGAGAAGAAGGCTTATGAGAGTTCAAGTTTTTTCCTTGAGACATGGAGAACCTTTAAACTGGCAAAGAAGGCTAAAAAAAAAAATCTAGACATTATTAGAACTTGGAGGAAATTCACTCACATTTATCAGAATGTAACTGTGATATTGCATAAATACTTACCACAGATCGGATCAGTAGATCCTGAAATGCTGCTGCTCTGTGGAACCACTTTACAAAGCACAGAGTATCTCTGAAATGAGTAATCTGTGTAGTAAGTGTTCACCTCTAGGGCATAATAGAAAGCTATTGAGGAATACTTACACAGGAAAAGATTTATAATTTGTAAATCTAATTTTGTAAAAAATAATCATTAAATATCCACCATAGAGGTGCTTTCAAATAGATGCAGAAAAAAATACTGGGTAGAAATAAATAAAAGTATTAATTAACATTCATCTTTAGGGCCAGTCCTGTAGCCTACTGGTGAAAGGAGCCAGACCCCACAAGGCCGACTGCAGTTTCACTCCTAGCCTCGACAGATTGAAAACACACCAGAAATGCATACCCGAAATGCCAACAGGATGGAGAAATGGAGAAGGGACTGCAGCATGACCACAGCCCATTGTGAGGGGTGCTTTCTCCCTCTCTCTCTAGTGAGTTCACATCTTCTCTGGCATTTAAAAAAAGGTAGTTATCATTGGGTGTTAGGATCAAGAATGAGTCTACTTTCCTTCAGCTTTTCTCCATTATGTAATTTTTCTATGATATTTTACTTTTAGAGAAACTCAACAAATGGGGCCAGCAGGTGGCATGGTGGTTAGGGCGCTGGACATTCCCACAGGGTTGACCATGGTTCAAGTCCCGGCCCTGGTGGCTTGCTTTCTCACCTCCCCCCTGCCCCTCCCCCCCGTGTCTCTCTCTGGTCAAATTAAAATAAATGAATAAATAAATAAAATTAAATAAATTAAAAAAATAAAAACAGAAAAGCTCATCAAATGACATAGAAATAAAAAAAGCTAGAAAGTGTTACTCTGTAATTCCTCTCATTTAATTTGAATGAAGCTAAGACAAAATCCATATTCACATATCTACATGTATTTACATAAATATTCATAGTATAAAGAATACATAAGTAATTTATAATCTATTTCTCCCTATTTCTCCTAAGTCTGCTTAGAAAAAAATGATGACAAGGCTGCTACAAAACAGCTCCCTTCCTCTCCATCCTTTATGGACAGAAGGACTCCACAGCATCCTTTGTGAAGAGTTCCAAAGTCTGAGTCAAGAGACTTCATGACAGTAGTGTCAGTCAAGTGGTTCAAGTCCTGGACCCAGCAATCTGAAAATCACACTGAGTATGTGTGTGTACATGCTCATGGACATTTCATTCTGTTTTAATTTTAAAACTGAGGTGGGGGCCAGCAGGTGGTGTGGTGGTTAAGGCGCTGGACTCCCACATGGCCGACCATGGTTTGAGTCCCAGATCTGGCAGCCTGAAAATCATGCCAAGTCAGTGTGTGTGCATGCCCAGGATCCCAAGAAGAGAAGGGATTGCAGTGTGGCCATCCCAAGAGTTGATTTCTCACTTTCTCTTTCTCTATCTCTCCCTGGCAAGTGCATGCACCCTATGGCAAAAAAAAATAAAAAGACAAAACAAACAAATAAACAAAAACCCAAGAGGGAACATTACCAATACTTTACTTTGCATTACGTGGAGATGACTCATAAGAGAGAGTGTGTGAGCGAACATGCACACACGCACACACCTTGCTCTTCCATGTGGCTGTAACGAGAAGAGAAGGACTTACGGTGAGCAGACTTGAGAGCCATGCACTGGGAGGCAAGGCGCCCCATCAGTCGGGAGACGAGGAGCTGTAAATCCAATCCCCAAGACACGGCAACATCAGGAAGGCCATAGGCAGTGACAGTGAATTTGTAGCCCCACTCGTTGTTACTGCTGTCAGAGTGAAAGAGGAACTGGAGCCGAGGACCAGCCTTAAAGGTCACTTTCTAGAGAAAAACAAAAGCCAGGTGGTCAGATTCAGGAGGCAGCAGTTCAGTAATAAGCATACTCTTTGTGACTTAAAATATCTACATTTACAATTGGGCTCTCTTTCTTTCTCTCTCTCTCTCTCTGTCTTTCTTTCTGTAGAGTTTTTTGCTACAGGGCATGTGTGCTTGCCAGAAAGACAGAGAGAGACAGAGAGATGGAAAGCGAGAAATCACCCCCAGGGGGATGGCCACGCTGCAATCCCTTCTCCTTCATGCTCCTCTCGGGATCTTGGGCATGCATGCACACGTGCCTGGCGTGAGTTTAAGCCACCGGGTCCAGGACTTGAACCGCGGTCGACTACATGGGAGTCCAGTGACGTAGCCATTACGCCAACTGCTGGTCCCTCTATTCTACAAGTGAGAAACTCCTAAAGAAGAAATGTACAAAGGGGTGGCTGAAAAAGAAAAGTTGCAACTGCATCTTGTGAAGAAGTAGAACTGGCAAAAAAACTGTTGCTCAGCAGGTTCAAACCTTGGGTGGCCATTTGCTCACTGCCTGCCTGGCTGGTGACTATGCTGGCTCACTCCTTTGCTCCCAACCAAAACTACTGACAGCAGAGAAGAGGTCAAGAGTCCGAGGCAGCACTCAAGCCCCAACCCAAGAGATCAAAAGCCGTGCTGACAGACGTGGCTGTCACCACCATGGTCCGGGCCAACCTCCTAGACATGCAGCCCTTGCTTGCTGAGGATGGATGACAAGCTCCTTATTCACTCTGGATGATATTGACATGAACCAGGAGTTGGCAAACTGTTCCTATAAAGAACCAGGTAGTGAATACTTCAGATTTCAGGAGTCACTTAATCTCTGTTGTGACTACTCAGCCCTGACACTGCACTGCCAAAGAAGCTCTAACTGGTACACCAAGAAATGAGCATGGCTGTGTCCCCCCAGATAGTCACTTATAGGGCAGGTGAGAGGTTGCAGTTTGTCAATCTAACCTGTTTACGTTTACAAAAATAAAGACCAATACCTCTATTGGTCCCTCGGGGCTACCAAAAAAAGAACTGCTGCAGAAGTAGACATGTCACCTCTTTCTGGGAACATCACTTACCCTGGGCCATTTATCAGTTCCAACTTTTGTGTCATAGCGTATTTTGCCACCTCTGGCATCGGTAAATTCCAGATAATCATACCTGCAAAAGCATAGTCTCTATTACTTTCGAGCTCTCACTTGTGATTCATTATTGCTTCAGGAAAAAGAACGTGTGAGTCTTACCTTTTTTCAGTTTCACACCTCTCATCAAATTCGACCTCAAAATAGGTTGCCCCTGGGCTAACAAAGACAGACACCTCATGGCAATTATTCTCATAGTTGTGGGCCGACTCCTTCGTCCACGTGTGTAACACCACAGGCTGTTCCTGTTGCCAGGTCTCCACATCCAGCTACGCAGACACATGAAGGAGGAAAAGGTTCTCATCACTCTGCACCTGGCCTGGCTAGGCAGCTGGGCTTTGACAGCCCCACACGTACTATCACACAGGCTAAGAGACATGCTCCCATCTACACAGATGATCAATGGACATCTATCATTCAGCAGAGCGCAGAGCAGACATGCTCCTTTTTTTTTTTTTTTGCTGTAAGGTGCATGTGCTCACTGGAAAGAGACAGGGACAAAAAAAGAGGGAAAAAGAGAAATCACTCCCGCAAGGGTGTTGGCCATGCTGCAATCCCTTCTCCATTCTGCTGGGATTTTGAGCATGCTCACACAAATACTCAGTGTGATTTTCAGGTTGCTGGGTCCAGGACTTGAACTGCAGTCAGCCATGTGGGAATCCAGTGCCTTAACCATCATGCTGCCACTGGTCCCGACCTTAATTCTACTAGTGTAGAAGACCTCTGTGACCAGCTTTCATCTTTTAACCTTTCACTATGACGTACCATACCATGTCAGTGATATGCTATGCTTCCTTGCATGTGGCCACATCACTCCTAAGCAGTCACAAAACAGGCTCCAGTACCAGCTTGAGTTACCTTATTCAGCCCTCCTTCAGGGTCCCGGCAGAGCTTCTTGAGCAGGTCTGTCAGGGTACTGAACTCTCTCAAGAGTGTGCAGTGGGAAATATCTAAGGTGCAGAAGTCCAGCAGGAAGATGACCTAAAGGAAAACGAACAGGGTAGTTAGCTGTCACTTCAGACTCTGCAGGGGGTGCAGATAACCAATCCCCACCCCACTCATCACAAATATTAACAGCTGCCACTTTTTCTTACCAGTTGACGAGCTGCCATGGAAAACACCGAATTACATAATTTTTCCACTATCATTTTTCCACTGTACTGTGACAAAAGGGATTCCAGAATCACTCTCATGCTTGCCAGAAACTGTCCCACATCTACCGAAACATAAAGAAAATAATGAATATTTTATATGGTGGAAACATCACTCGCTTAGCATCAGGTTGTTGGAAAAGTCATGATGCATTTTTATATAGAAAAAAAGTCATGCCTTTTCCAACGGCTCAATGTTTACAACGGTAAAGCTGGAGAGGGCCACAGGACCTGTGGAGGGGATTCTACAACAGAAAAACCACAAGGCCACTAAGTGTCATCCAGATGCTCCCACTGGAAAGGAGAAGCCATGCAAATTTCAGTAAAAAGTTACTTTCAAAGTGAGTGGTTTCTTCCTTTGCTACTTTTTTTGAAGAAGTGGATATATCACTTTTATAAGTGAAGATACTTGACTGACCAACCCAGCTGTCAGCCTCTCCGCGTTTGTTCACGAGGGGCCTGTATGTCAGGTGTGCCAGCCCTCTGGCCACACTCTAGGTGGCAGGACCCAATCCTACAAGTACATGTGTCATAGCAGCTACGACCAAATTTGACAGAACTGAATTTCCCACATATAGTTTCTCAGAACCTGTTGGATTTCATGGTTTTCTGAGGGCTGACAGGACAAGAATCAGAGTTTCTTTAATTACCAACAGGTTACAGCAGGGCTTATAAACCTTAGGTTTTAAAATTAAGACCTTCTCTTTTGGACAATTTGATTAAAACAAGGATGACAGACTTTCCTGAAGAGTGACACATCACCAAGGACTGCTATATGAACGCAGAGATAATATTTAGGCTGTAAAGTGACCTACTTCTACAGTAAAAACACTCAGACACACCACCATGTCTAGACAGGCAACTATGGGGAAGATGACATGCCATTAAAGTCTGTTTTAGGAAGACAAAACGACTCCAAGCTCTGAATTGCAATAAAGAAAACCATAAGCACATTTGATGCATGAGTTACTAGAGAAAGTACACACACAGTCAAAATCCAAACACCTGTTTTCGCTGGTTTTGTATTGAAACTCACATTTTTCAATAAGGTCCACAGCAAGGTCTTTGGCTTCAGAATCCGTGCTCTTCAGCTGCAGGTAGCACCAGGAGAGCAGGCTGCCTTGGACGGCCCAGAACAGAGAGAGGAGCACAGAGCTGGCCTCCCCTTGGGCTCCACTGAGCATCAACAGCTCACACTACGAGGGAGGAGACAAGCAGACGTGTTCACAAGGCCATGCCCAGAGACAGCCATTTCCTAAGGCAGTAGTGTCACCAATGGACACCCACGATGGATACGGGAGACAGTCATGAAAGAGCTAGCAACCCCAAAGCGCCCAAGACAATATTATAAAATTTCTGCCCCAGTCCTCCAATTTTTTTTTTGAGAGGTTTTTGCTATAGGGCGTATGCACTCGCCAGACAGAGAGAGACAGAGAGACAGAAAGCAAGAAATCACCCCCCAGGGGGGATGGCCACGCCGCAATCCCTTCTCCTCCATTCTCCTCTTGGGATCTTGGGCACTCACGCACACATGCCCGGCGTGAGTTTAAGCCACCAGGTCTGGGACTCGAACCACGGTTGACTACATGGGAGTCCAGTGACATAGACATTACGCTAACTGCTGGTCCCCCCTAGTCCTCCAATTTTTTAGAACCTTTACAAATGACTTTTTTCTCTGTAAGACATCTCCTTATGCCACCCCAGGAAACTTCCTTCACTCACACTGGTTATCTGGTCTCTCTACCTCATCTTCACAGCTCTCCTTTCTCTGAGTCTTCAGTCAAGTATCTCCCACCTTTAAAAAAGAGAATTTTTGGGACCAGCAATTGACGTAATGGCTATGTCGCTGGACTCCCATGTAGTCGACCGTGGTACGCATCCCAGACCCGGTAGCTTAAAACTCACGCCAGGCGTGTGTGCGTGCATGCCCAAGATCCCGAGAGGAGAATGGAGGAGAAGGGATTGTGGTGTGGCCATCGCTCCTGGGGGATGATTTCTCGCTTTCTGTCTCTCTGTCTCTCTCTGTCTGTCTGGCAAGTGCTCGCGCCCTATAGCAAAAAAAACAACCAACCAAACAAAAAAACCTATCCAAGAAAAAAAAAAGAGAGAGAATTTTTCATCCCTCTCTGGCTCTCTAGCCATCTTCTGTGTTCTCAGATATTTCTCTAAAGTCACCTCTAGTCATCTAGAGACAAACTCCTGCACACAAGAACCCTTTCACATCAGCATGGTCATGGAATCAACTGCTCCAAACTGGAACCAACACAACTATCCCTCCAAAATAAAACAGCTACATACACAGTGACATACTCTTAAAGGGAACACAGTGCACCACCAAAAAGAAACTACAGCACAGGCATCTTCATGGGTCCATATCAGAAACATACTCAGTGAAAAAAACATGTCACAGAAGATGTTACACCATGTGATTCCACTAATGGTTAAAACCAGGCAAAATAAACATGCTATATAGGGATAATTAGAAAGAAGAAAAGAAGAAATCATGAAGACAAACTTCAGAGTAGTCATGCTGTGTGGCAAGGAGGCAGTGGGGGTGAGCCATGAAATGACATGTGGAGGGGCCTGGACTTCACAGATACTGGTAATGTCCTAGTCTTCAAAAAGGACAGTTGGTTCTTTAAGTTGCCCATCCACACTCTTTTGCATGTGCATCTCGTTAAAGTCAGTTACCTACCCCATCCGAGTTTGCTTGTCCATAACCTCCCTCTCATTCTAACACTTCTGCTGACACTGTTCCCCAAAGGCATCAGTTTCCACCTAGACAGCAAAGCCTCTCCACTTGACTCTAGAGGCTCTGTGGGCGCTGTCCCTTGGAAACACGCTCTTTTCTCCGCCTTTCTGATTTTCTTCCTGCCACTCCTTCCTACCCTCCTGACCATACCTCCTCTGTAGATGTTCCTCAAGAAGCCCTTGGGTGGCATGATACCATCTATAGTTGCTACTGATCATGAAATCTCCAGCACTGACTCATCCCCTGGGTGTGCCATCAGATCTCGACACCTGAAGTCTACTAGACATGAACTCGGCACGCTCGATGTCTATCCATTATCATCTTCAAACACCTGCTCCTCCCTGGCTCCCTGCAGCCTTTTGCATGTGCTACTCCCTTTCTCCCTCATCTCTGCTTGGTTAACCCCCATTCATGGTCTCCAGTACCACCTTCTCCGAAAAGCCAACTCCACTTCCCGCCCCCACCAGGCAGGGCTCAGTATGCTTGTCCGTACCCCAGAGGCTCCTGTGCTCACTTGCTGCACTGTTAGAGCTGACTGGTGCTCTTTACCACCGTATCCCTGTACCCAGCACAGCGCCTGGCACAAGCAGGCTGCAGTGGGTATTTATTGAACTAGCAACACAGGAGAAAAATGATAGATTAAGCACATCTCTGACTAACTTTAAGTTTCTTTCCTAACCTAACCCTACCTCTTTAGTATAACCACAAACATTTTTACTTAAAGGTAACCCAAGGAAATACATTATGGCTGCAGTGATGTCTGGTTTAGGAAGTTCAATGACATCTACAACTTCTTTCATGTTGAGGTCAGTGAAAAAGAAGAAAAGACAAACATTTGTTGTCTAAGCAGAAAACCCTCACGGGAAATTCTCTTGGATAAATGCTGTCTCATTTTTCCACAGACACCTGATGGGAAGTCTGAACTACTGGAAAGGGGACAAGACTCAGAATCAAATGTTCAGGTTTCACTCCTGGCTCCAGTCCCTACCAATTCCTCACATAGGGGGCAGAACTGACACCTAAGAAAACTAGGTGAAAACACTAATGTTTTTCTGCCCAAGGACACAAATGACTGATTACAGAATAAAGACTAGTGAGGGTAAAAGTTACATATGAGAACCAGGGAGAATTTTTTTTTTTTAAAGAATTATTTTTTATTTAACTTTATTTATTTATTTTAATTTGACCAGGGAGAGACAGAGTGAGTGAGGAGAGAGAGAGTAAGAAAGCAAGCTGCCAGTTCTGGAACTCGAACCATGGTCAGCCACGCGGGAATCCAGCGTCCTTAACCACCACACCACCTGCCAGCCCCACCAGGGAGAATTTCTGACCTCCAGGAGAAAGGGAAGGTGTGGGAAATGGCATAAACATGACATAGTTTAGAATGAATTATGGCTAACTGGGGTAGAGAAAAATATTGATGAGCAGTAGTCTCGAGTAAGATTTTTCTTTCTTTTCTTTTTTTTTTTAAGAATTATTTACTTTTATTCATTCATTCATTCATTTATTTATTTTTAAAAATTTGACCAGAGCGAGAGAGAGAAACAGAAAATGAGAAAGGAAGCTACCAGGTCCAGGACTCAAACCATGGTTGGCCATGTGGGAGTGTCCAGTGCCTTAACCACCATGCCATCTGCTGGTCCCTGGAGTAATATTTTTAAGAGAGACACCAAGGTAAGCAGAGGAGTATGGAAATTAGAAAAAAAGCAGAAAGTAATTAAGAGAAAATTAATGTGACAGCAGAAAATGGAGCATTAGGGGGCCAGCAAGTAGTGATTGAGACACTAGATTTCCCACATGCTGTTCGAGTCCCAGATCTGGTGCCTTGCTTTCTCACTATCACTCTCCCTCTTTCTCTCAATCTGTCTCTCTATGGTCAAATTGAATAATAATAATAAATAAATAAAATTAAAAATTTAAAAAAAGAAAATGGAGCATTGATCAGAAATAAAATTAAGGCTTATAATGTCAGCGTTAGAGCACATAAGCATCAGAGTGAAATCCCAACCCAGTATTTAAAGTAACACTCTGTCTACATAATGGTTAGCCTTGGTGTGACCCTGCAAATGATAACCTAGCAGACTACATGCTCTCTAAGGTCCTTATGAGTGATAACTGCTGACTCGCCTACCACTCCAGGAAACCAGGAATGAATGCAGCCTTGGCTCTAACAGCAGCTTGGAAATGGTAAAACACTTGCAAAAATCTAAGCAATTTAAAGACATTAAGTTCAGCCACAACGTACAAGATAAGTTATCTCGAAGTCCATGTCAATAAATATCTCAAGAGTGTGGTCTGGACTGTTTCACCGTAAAATCCCCTTGAACTCTCTGGTTGCCATATTTAGTCCAAAGAGGTAGTTTTGGTCTCAGTATGGGGGTTCTATCACTCCAGAATCTCTTGCGGTGCTTGGTAAAAAAGAAGATTTGGGGGCAGCAGGTGGTGTGATGTTCAAAGTGCTAGACTCCCACATGGCCAACTATGGTTCAAATTCTGGACCTGGTGCCTTGCTTTTCTTACTTTCTCTCACTCCCTCTCTCAGGTGAGTGCATGTGTCCTATAGCAAATATAAAATAATAATAATGAATAAAATTAAACAAAAAAATTAAAAAAAAAAAAAGATGATTTAAGTCTTAAGCCCTATCCCTAGATATTCTAAATCAGTAGCTTGAAGTGAGACCTTGAAATCCGAATGTCTGTTGAATATCCTAGGTGATTCTCATCAGTTTAGTCCACATGGGATGTGGACTCCATTTTGAGAAATAAAATCCTACATGTTAAAAAAATAATGATAATTGGGACCGGCAGGCGGTGTGGTGGTTAAGGTGCTGGACACTCCCACATGGCTGACCATGGTTCAAGTCCTGGACCTGGTGGCTTGCTTTCTCACTTTCCTCTTTCTCTCTGTGTGTCTCTTTCTCTGGTCAAATTGAAATGAATGAATGAATGAATGAATGAATAAAATTTATTAAAATAATTCTTTAGGAAAAAAATAATGATAATAAAACATTTAAAAATAATATTGGCACAGGAAAAAGAAGATATATTATCAGATTTGATTAGCCTGCAAATGTGCTATATAATCTTTTTTATTTTTTTTTTAAGAGAGATTTTTGCAATAAGGCCCTCGTAGTTACCAGAGAGACAAAGAAAGATGGAGAGACAGAAAGCAAAAAATTACTCCCCAGGAGGGCTGGCCACACCACAATCCCTTCTCTTCCATTCTCCTCTCAGGATTTTGGGCATGCATGCACACGCATCTGGTGTGAGTTTTAAGCCGCTGGGTCTGCGACTTGAACTGTGGTTGACTACATGAGAGTACAGTGACGTAACCATTATGCCATTTGCTGGTCCCATGCTTTGTCTTTTCTTAGAAAATTAAGACTACTAAGCTGGGAGAATGGAGAAGGGACTGTGGCATAGCCATCCCCCCCGGGGGTGTGTGTGTGTGATTTCTCACTTACTGTCTCTCTGGCGATCCCATGCAACCTATAGCAAAAATCTCTCAAAACAAACAAACAAACAAAAAAGACAAAGCAGTATTCCACGAAGTTCACACCACAAATACTTAACTATGTGCTGGGCTCATTGAGTGACACTACAAGGAGACCTGGCACAAATCCATTTCTCCTTTTTCACAGGAAGTTTTTATACACACTTCTTGCTGACTCTCAGGGAGCAAATAAGTGTCCCTTCACTCATGTGTAGAGCTGGCTGAGAAACCTCTGTGTTCCTCTGCAAGGGTCAAGTAACAAAGTCCCTTCATACTCTGAATGCGAGCTAAAGGGGATGGCACAGCAACTGCTATGTCATGTGCTCCTAGATGCAAGAAGCCAAGAAGACAGGGAGGCAGCCATCAGATACCTCCCGAGCAGCAACTGACAGGAGAGTGTTCATGACCGCCAGGACTTCGCTGATGTTCATGCTGGCCAGGTCGCTTTTCTCAGGTAGAAGGAGAAGGCCGCCCGGATCCTTATCACTGAAAAGGACACAAACTGGTCAAGATACCTGGTTTCAGAAAGGAGATTTTCATGCTTCCTATCTTCTTCTTCTTTTTTTTTTTTTTTTAAGAGAAAAATTTTTGCTAAAGGGTGTGTTTGCTCACCAGAGGACAGAGAGGGATGGCCATGCCACAATCCCTTCTCCTCTTCTCCTCTTGGGATCTTGGGCACACACACGCATGCACCCAGCATGAGTTTAAGCTGCTGGGTCCAAGACCTAAACCGTGGTCTACTACAGGGGAGTCCAGCGATATAAACATTATACCATCTGCTGGCCCCCATGCTTTCTCTCTTAAAAGGCTCCCAAAAAAGAACTGAGAAAGATTTCAGTTCTATGAGCTGGGATTTTGGGTCAGGAAGATAAGACATGATCCCAGCTGAGTCAGTGTCACTGTAGGCCCACAAGTCCTTCCATAAGACAAACCCATAATTCCTCTAGTCCTTACAAGAAAGCCTGAAGGATAAATCTGATAACCAAGTTACCCTGACCACCCATATGAAATACACCTAATCAGCCACGCCTGTAGTGTAGCAGTCACGTGCTGTGCAGTAGAAGCTGGAGCCCACACGGCCAACCAGGGTTTGAGTGTCGGTCCTGGTGGCTTGAAAAACATGCTGGGTGTGTGCACACATGTGCAGGATCCTGAAGGGATGAAGAAGTGGAGGAAAAAGGATCATGGCATGACCAGACCCCATGGGATGGTGCTTGCTCTGTTTCTCTTTTATGCAGGTGCATGTACTCTCTGGAGTAGGAAGGAAGGAAATACACCTAATCTTGTGACTGTTAACATGGCAACCCAGACTAAATATAACTGTGCCTTTAAATGTTCTTCACATGACAGCTCCAGCCTCTTCTATCATCCTGGCTCCTTCATTCTGAACCAGTTTATTCAGATAGCATTCTAGGTCTGGCATCCATGCCAGGTACAGTCTGATTTGTAGGCAGTGCTCGAGCTGTAAGTTCCCTCCCTCCTTTGAGAGTCTAAGCCTCCAGTAATGAAGCCTGTGAGCCCATAGCTTCTTTGGCAGTCAAACAAGAAAAACTCTTCGAATACTTCCTTACAGCACACTTCTTTTTGCTAACTACCGTTCTGTGCTTCTGCAGTTGGTTTTGATGTAATTGGGTTTGTAGACTTGAATACAGAACCCCAAACTCCTTTGGCTTTAGTTTCATCTTTATGAATCACTTATATGGCCCAGCCATGGTGGTGCATAGGTAGTGGGAAGTTAGAAACCAACCTGGTTTGAGTCCTGAGTCCACCTGAACAGGCTGGGCATGGTTGCTTGTGTTTCTTAACCTAGCTAACTGGAAGGCTGGGGCAGAAGATTACAACACGGAGAAACCAAAAAGAACTCTCTCTGTCTCTTGCCCTTTTCCTACTCTTTTTCTACCCTTTTCCTAACAAATAATTTATTTAATTTTTATCATTATTATTATTATTATTATTTTAACTAGAAAGAGAGAGAAGGAGGGAAAGTGAGAAAGCAAGCTATCAGGTCCAGAACTCAAACTATGGTCAGCCACGTGGGAGTCCAGTGTCCTAACCTCTATACCACCTGCCAGCCCCTGATTATTTTTTTTTAAGGGAAAAAAGTCACTTTGAAATTGACATGCTCAAAGAGATCCCTAGTGGGTTCAACTATAAATTGCCTTATAATAAGTTGGATTAAACTTTCAACAAGATTATTGCTCCACTACTATTTTAATCAGTCCTGTGCCTAGTAATAACTCACTCCAGACACCTGACTTTTTCAGCTGAGTGGTGGGAAGTAACACTCCAAAAACATATGATAGGAGGGGACAGCTATAAGAAAACAACTTTGCAAAGATCTGAAGTATGTGATAGCTGAAAGGAATTATAAACTTACCTAAAATATGTACACAGGGAACGGAAAGTGAGTTGCAGGGACTGCTTGTGTTCCTGCTCAGTGACGTTCTTCTAGAAAACCAGAGATCATGCATTCAGAAAAATCTAATCCATGGCATTTCAGAGACCTAGAGCAACATGAAATACCGCCGTTCCCAAGTATGCGGAGAGCCTGGCCCACAGACCACCCTGCAGTGCCCAAATGAAACTTGTTCTCGTGTGGAGGGGTGAAACCAAGCATCGCACAGAGGCTGGCATTTACTTTCGTTCACTGCCAAACATCTTCCTGCATGAAAGTTTGACACAAGTATTTAGGAAGATGACCTCCAAAAGATGCATACTTTTCATCACTGGGCATGCCACAGAAAGAGCAAGAGGCAGAGCCAGTGTGTATTTCTCATTAGCTTTCTGTTCGGAAACAGGATCAAAGTGCTCCCTCCATCCTACAGGTTTATGGTCAACGGTGATAATTACAGAAATCATTTCTCCTACTGGAGCTGCTTAGTTACTTGGGAGCAATTTTTCTGAATTCTTATTATTATTTTAACTAGAAAGAGAGAGAAGGAGGGAAAGTGAGAAAGCAAGCTATCAGGTCCAGAACTCAAACTATGGTCAGCCACGTGGGAGTCCAGTGTCCTAACCTCTATACCACCTGCCAGCCCCTGATTATTTTTTTTTAAGGGAAAAAAGTCACTTTGAAATTGACATGCTCAAAGAGATCCCTAGTGGGTTCAACTATAAATTGCCTTATAATAAGTTGGATTAAACTTTCAACAAGATTATTGCTCCACTACTATTTTAATCAGTCCTGTGCCTAGTAATAACTCACTCCAGACACCTGACTTTTTCAGCTGAGTGGTGGGAAGTAACACTCCAAAAACATATGATAGGAGGGGACAGCTATAAGAAAACAACTTTGCAAAGATCTGAAGTATGTGATAGCTGAAAGGAATTATAAACTTACCTAAAATATGTACACAGGGAACGGAAAGTGAGTTGCAGGGACTGCTTGTGTTCCTGCTCAGTGACGTTCTTCTAGAAAACCAGAGATCATGCATTCAGAAAAATCTAATCCATGGCATTTCAGAGACCTAGAGCAACATGAAATACCGCCGTTCCCAAGTATGCGGAGAGCCTGGCCCACAGACCACCCTGCAGTGCCCAAATGAAACTTGTTCTCGTGTGGAGGGGTGAAACCAAGCATCGCACAGAGGCTGGCATTTACTTTCGTTCACTGCCAAACATCTTCCTGCATGAAAGTTTGACACAAGTATTTAGGAAGATGACCTCCAAAAGATGCATACTTTTCATCACTGGGCATGCCACAGAAAGAGCAAGAGGCAGAGCCAGTGTGTATTTCTCATTAGCTTTCTGTTCGGAAACAGGATCAAAGTGCTCCCTCCATCCTACAGGTTTATGGTCAACGGTGATAATTACAGAAATCATTTCTCCTACTGGAGCTGCTTAGTTACTTGGGAGCAATTTTTCTGAATTCTAATGTATGTATTGACCTTCTGCTATCTAAGGTACAGACGGGGATTTCCAAAGGATTTAAGGCCCAGGGCCTTGCCAGACACAGGACAGTGGGGAAGATAAGACATGGTGACACTGACACAATTACCTGGACAGAGAACTGCTTAGCATATAAAAGGCTGATGTGCTGTTCAATTTATCAGCATAAGAAGGAAATATAACCATTGCTATCAGAGGGATGGGCAAAGGGAAACTCCACTGGGTTGCTCTGCTAATAAATACCAATATTGGGACCAGCAGATGGCATAGTGGTTATGTCACTGGACTTCCACATAGTCTACAGGGTTCAAGTCCAGGACTTGACAGCCTGAAACTCATGTCGGGTAGGCGTGTATGCATGAGTGCCCAAGATCCTGAGAATAATGGAGAAGAAAGAAGGCCATTCTTCCTGTGGGGAGGGACGGGGGAATGATTTCTCACTTTCTGTCTCTCTGGCGAACACACACGCTCTATAGCAAAAAATAAATAAATAGGAGCCGGTAAGTGGCATGGTGGTTGAGGGAGCTGGACTCCCACCTGGATGACCATGGGTCGAGTCCCGAGCCTGGCTGCTTGCTTTCTCACTTTCTCTCTCTCTCTTTCTTTCTCTCACTCTGTCTTTCTCTGATCAAATTAAAATAAATAAAGTTAAATAAGATAATTCTTAAAAAAAAGAATTATTTATAAAAAAAAATAAATATCAACATTATACAAGAGGTCTCATGTCTCTATTTTTCTATGTGGGGCACACGCTAGCAAAAAAAGTCATTTGCTGAGCTACCTGGTAAATGCTTCCAGCAAACAAGTACAGCAGAGCCCCGCCCATCATCCACTGGATCAGGTCAGTAATGTTGGCAAAGGCTGTATCAACTTTGAATGTGAGAAATGATCCTTCAAATTGATATTCAAATTCTATATGTAGCTGTAATACAACCAAAGAGCCTTCATCCCCTCTGGAATCTTCCTCAATCACTTAGCCTCACCTTAAATCTCCTCGAAATGCCTATTGCACATGGAGTCGATTATTCCTCCTCGTGGTGTCCCCAACTAGACGGAAGCCCTTTGGCATCGAGGACCACATTTTGTGCTTCTTTTGCCCCTCTTTTATTTCTTTTATTTTCTTTTTTTAAGATTTATTTATTTTTAATTTTATTATTATTATTATTATTATTCAATTTTAACCAGAGAGAGACAGAAAGAAAGAAAGGGAGAGTGAGAAAGCAAACCACTAGGTTTGGGACTTGAACCATGGTCGGTCATGTGGGAGTCTAGCACCTCACCCACCATGCCACCTACTGGTCCTGCTCCCTCTTTTATTTCTATAGGACTTTACACATCCCACAGAAAACTGCTCTTATATTTACTAGTTAACTGGTGGTTGCATATAAAAGGGCCTTCTTTTTTTTTAAGGAATTATTTATTTAATTTTATTTATTCATTCATTTATTTTAATTTGATCAAAGAGAGAGAGAGAGAAAGTGAGAAAGGAAGCCATCAGGTCTGGGACTCAAACCATGGCTGGCCATATGGGAGTGTCCAGCACCTTAACCACCACACCACCAGCTGGTCCCAAAAGGGCCTTTTTTTTAAACAATGTATCTAAGGTCAGCTTCGTGGCATAGTGGTAATGTGCTACTCAAGAAAAGCAGGTCCCATGTGGCAACCATGGTTCAAATCCCCACCATGGTCAACATGAGACCTGCCAGGAACCCCTAGGATGGATGGCTAGAGGAAGGGGATCATACCATGACCAGAATCTGTGGTCAGGATCCTGTAACCTTAACTACCAGGCCACCTGCTGGCTCCCAGAATTTTGTCACACTAAATACTATTTTCTGCATTTTCTGATGATTTTTCTCCTCTAATTTTCCAGAGATGCATGTACTAGGTTGTTGGAAAAGTCATTTGAGCAGAGAAAAACTGCTCATGGCTTTTCAGAAAACCTAATACTTAACAGAGAGACAGTGAGAAATAGGAAAAGAGAAAGCATCTCCCCCATAGGGTAAAGTCACACCTCGAACTCTCCTCCTCCATTTCTCCATCCCATAGGATTTTGGGCACACAAACCCGGTGTGTTTTTCAAGACACCATGGCCAGGATTCAAACCACTCAGCCATGTGGGATCTGGCTCCCTTTACCCCTAGGACATAAGGCCAACTCTTCTCTTTGGTATCAGTTACCAGGTTTTTTTTTTTAAAGAATTATTTATTTTAATTTTTATTTATTGATTCATTAATTTTAATTTTTTGTTTTTGTTTTTTTAGAGGTTTTTGCTATAGGGCGCATGCGCTTGCCAGAAAGACAGAGACAGAGAGACAGAAAGCGAGAAATCACCCCCCAGGGGAGATGGCCATGCTGCAATCCCTTCTCCTCCATTCTTCTCTTGGGATCTTGGGCACGCACGCACACATGCCTGGCGTGAGTTTATGGCACCGGGTCTGGAACTCAAACCACAGTCAACGACATGAAAGTTCAGTGACATAGCCAGTATGCTAACTGCTGGTCCCTCATTTATTTTAATTTGACCAGAGAGAGAGGGAAAGTGAGAAAGCAAGCTATCAGGTTCAGGACTTGAACTGTGGTCAACCATGCAGGAGTGTCCAGCATCTTAATCACCACGCCACCTGCTGGCCTGAGTTACCAGACTTTTAATGTTGAACTGTCATTGCACAACTAGGGTAAATCTAGTTTGGCCATAAGTTTGTTTATATGTTGTTGTATGGTCAATTAACATTTTGTTGAGATTTTTCTATGTTTATAAGACTAGCTTATAATTTTGTTTTCTTGTATACTCTTAGTTAATTTATCCCCTTAGTTTACTTATATCTCCTTTTTTCCTTCACTATTGTTATAACACAAGAACCGCTAAAATTCCCTTACTTAGATGTTTTCAGTATGGCCTAAAAAAAGAAATTTTTGTTTTGTTTTACATTATCACTAATATTTTTAGTATCACATTCATTTTAATATAGAAATACTTTCTTTAGAATTATAACCTGAACAGGGACCAGCAGTTGGCGAAATGGCTATGTCACTAGACTCCCATGTAGTTGACTGAGGTTTGAGTCCTGGACCCAGTGGCTTAAACACACTCTGGGTGCATGAGTGTGCGTGCCCAAGATCCCAAGAGGAGAATGGAGGAGAAGGGATTGTGGCGTGGCCACCCCCTGGGGGGGGGTGATTTCTCATTTTCTGTCTCTCTCTGTCTTTCTGGCAAGTGCACACGCCCTATTAGGGGAAAGGCACACCCCATATAACAAAAACCTTAAAAAAAAAAAAAAAAAAAAAAAAGAATTAAAACCTGAACATTGGCAGAGGACATTCTATTTGGGAACTAAAACTTGTAAATACCAAAAGCATCCTTCCCCACCCTAGGCACTAACATCTGAGTAACACTGAGAAGCAGTCTAGGAGGCGAGAAAAAACAGCTAGGGATTAAAACTTGGTTGCATTATCTTTACAGATATATACTGAAATCTATGAATAAAATATGTCGGGGATTGACTTTGAAATAATACTCAGCAGGGAGGAAGAAGAGAAGAATGAGTGAGTTATATCATGCATAAAGTTTATAATTTTCTAAAAGAATTATTTATTTATTATTATTTTAATTTGACCAGAGAGAGAGAGAAGGCAAAAAAGCAAGCCACCAGCTCTAAGACATGAACTGCAGCTGGCTGTATGGCAGTCTAGCACCTTAACCACCACACCACCTGCCGGCCCCAGTTTTTATAATTTTTTTAAGAGAATTTTTTTTTGCTACAGGGTACATGCACTCACCAAAGAGACAGAAAGTAAGAAATCACTCCGTAAGGGGGATGGCCACGTTACAATCCCTTCTTTATCCTCTTCTTGGGATCTTGGCATGCACACTCATGTACCAAGTGTGAGGTTGGTTTTTTTTTTTTTTTTTCCTTCTTTTTTTTAGAGAGGATTTTGCCTTGAGCTTGCACGCACATGTGCCTGGCGTGAGTTTCAAGCCACCAGGTCCGGGACTCAAACCTCAGTCGACTACACAGGAGTCCAGCGACATAGTCATTACACTAACTGCTGATCCCCCAGCATGAGTTTTAATCCACTAGGCCCAGTACTTGAACTGCAGTTGACTACATGGGAGTTAAGCGATGTAACCATTCCGTCATCTACCGGTCCCCACTTTTTGTAATTTTATGTGTCTATTAATTTTAGAGTTTTGTGATGGGTACAACTGGGGAAAGAATTCATTATACTATGTAAACTACTTTTATATTTCTTTTAAATTTTCCCACAATGAAAAGGTAAAATGTTAAAAAGAGTACAGAGCTATTTCCTTAGATGTCTGTGTCTCATACAAAGATCTTCATGTAGTAAGTATTCAGAGAAACAGGGAGGAGTAAATATCATCCTAACAGACTTCAGGAATGGGATCCATATTTTCAGTAAATAGTTACCATCATGGTGAAGAGATGGTTCCGCCGAGTCTGCCGATCAGGAAAGAAGATGGCAGCCCCATTGAGAAGGGTATTCCTGACTTCTTGTTTTAGTATTTCCATGGGCACAGAGTCTCCGTTCACCCTGTCTACCACTGGTAGAAATGAACAATGGAATCAGTCTTAAAATATTTTGTCTATTCACTCAATATATATTGGCTATAACTAGTGTATAAACTCGCTACTCTCAATTTGTGGTTAACACCAGAGAAAAGAAATACTGTACATCTATACAGGTTAAGCAGTGTAAAGAAACTATATTTTTTTTGTTTACACTTAACTAAAACAGAGTACATATACCAGGTTTTACTTCATTATTCCCCTGTCCTTTTGAGACACAACGTGGCAATGCCTTAAAAAGAAGTTCTGATGGTGGGGTGTGTTTCATCCTGAATTTATCATTACAATGCTCCTGCCCCTATCTATTGGTCTGGTCTCAGTGTCTCAACTGAAGTAAAGGCTGTACAATGTGACGGTTACTCTCAATGTAACACGGATGTATATCTGAAACCAGGAGGAAGAGAAGTCAGCTAGTGAGGGAGTAAATCCTAAACACCAAACAATAATTCAGAAGAGCATCAGAGGAAATGCTGTTTCCACAGAAGAGATCTCTCTCTGGCTTGAACGATCACAGGATCCCCCTCCTCCCTACAGTAAGAGGCCTCACAGGCTACCGAGCACTGGGCCGCTTTAAAACGACACTCCCCAGTCCCTACCATCGCATAAGTGTGTGTAGAGCTCCTTGGCAGCCTTTACTCCTTCGGGGTTCGGGGCAGGGGCCTTTTCCTGCTCAGAGGCAGCCAGGGCGTCTCCCTGCAGCACCGAGAAGCAGCTCTGGAGGAGCTGTAGAAGCAGGGTTTGGGCACAGATACATTCCCCTCTAGGGCTGCGAAAAGACAAAGACCGTCAGAGAGCATAAAGGCAAGTTGCTTTTACCCCCAATCCACATAGCTATCTACACAGGCAAGTCGCTTTTACCCTCAAGCCATTAAGCTGTCAACACACAACTCTCAAACTTGGTAAGAAAAAAAAAGAAATCCCAAATGAGCAGAAAGGTGGAACCAAAAGAACACTGTACTAGCAGTCCGAAATACAGAATCCATCTGACTGCCCACTACGGGGAAGGAAATTCATTTCTGACCCCGCTTCTTCAAATTAGGATAATACTATAATACTCGACCTGATCAGCTTATCCAAAAAGTTGTGATGATAATCAAATAAGAAAACATTTGTACAAATACTACCTAATTAAGGTACTTATTTACAGAATGTGAGGTGCTGTTTTCAATTATAACCCAACCTTTCAAATCAGAACAATATACAGTAGAAAGTTAAAAAACAAACTTAAAGCAATAAGTTGCCCACTAAAAATAGCAAAACTCAGTGCCTCAGTTTTGTTTTTATATTATCACCTTATGACCTACTTTTGCTTTAATTTACTGTAAAAATTCCAGAAGATCTTCAAGTCAAGACCCGTGAAGTCCAGAAAAGATTTATATTTTAAGCCACTTTCCTTCTGCTGCACCTAAGAAATTATAAAAACCAGAAAAAAATAAAATTGACAAAATGTATTTATAGAAATACTTTAATGCCTCATTTACTTCTCATTGTTAAGAGACAAGGTGCTGGGGACTGGCAGATGGAGTGGTGGTTAAGGCGCTGGTCTCCCACATGGCCAACCATGGTTCAAGTCCCAGACCTGGTGGCTTGCTTCCTCACTTTCCCTTTCTGTCTGTCACTCTTTGGTCAAAATTGGAATATAGTAATAAATAAAATGAAAATAAATAGATCTTAAATAAAAAAGGAGATGGGATGGCTCCACATGGGTGAAATGCCCATATAACCAATGCTTACTCTTTTTTAAAAATTATTTTATTTTATTTATTCATTTATTCATTTTAATTTTACCAGAGAGAGAGAGAGAGAGAGAGATAAAGTGAGAGAGCAAGCTGCCAGGTCCAGAACTTGAACCGTGGTCAGCCATGTGGGAGTGTCCAGCACCTTAACCACCATGCCACCTGCTGGTCCCCACCAATGCTTACTCTTATAGCTACTAAAAAGTTTGTCAACTATAAGAGGTGTGAAACTTTCTCAAATATTTGTGTGTATACATATGTACATAAACACGTATCTATGTGTAACTCAACCTAACACACACATACACACGAAGGCTTCCTGACTTCATAACATGGCATCTGGAACATAAGTCCATCTTGATGATTATGGCCTAGGACTGACTTGTATGTTTGACTTTTCTCTGCACTTGGGCTGAAAGGCATGGATTATGCTATAAATCAGCCCACGGCTCCTGACCAATTCCTTCTAATTTGCCCTTGTCTTCTGTGACAGGGGTGCTTGCATAACAAAGACCAAACAATCAAATATAGTGAGTCACCAGCCTTTGCGTATGCCCTGAAGCAGATTGGAGGCCGGGAGTGGACACTGTCATACACATGGGAGAGGGATCTCTGGGTTCCTAAGGTGAGCCATGTTTTCTCTGGTAATGGCTGAAAGAATCTTCCCTTGAGTGAGTTAGCACTGTGTTTCACTAGTGACTGTAAAAATCAGTTCCAAAAACAAATGACTGAATCCTGACATGATTTTTGTACTTTTCGTAAACAAATAGAATCCACCCAGACTTCAGCAGTAACTCTCCTAGGACCTAAAGATGTGAACTTGATTCATCTGTCTCCCCTTGTTGAGCGTTAACAGCATCAGACAGGGAAAGACCAAGTGTACATGGCCATCATGGTGAGGTCTCTCATTTATTCATTTTAATTTTACCAGAGAGAGAGAGAGAGAGAGAGATAAAGTGAGAGAGCAAGCTGCCAGGTCCAGAACTTGAACCGTGGTCAGCCATGTGGGAGTGTCCAGCACCTTAACCACCATGCCACCTGCTGGTCCCCACCAATGCTTACTCTTATAGCTACTAAAAAGTTTGTCAACTATAAGAGGTGTGAAACTTTCTCAAATATTTGTGTGTATACATATGTACATAAACACGTATCTATGTGTAACTCAACCTAACACACACATACACACGAAGGCTTCCTGACTTCATAACATGGCATCTGGAACATAAGTCCATCTTGATGATTATGGCCTAGGACTGACTTGTATGTTTGACTTTTCTCTGCACTTGGGCTGAAAGGCATGGATTATGCTATAAATCAGCCCACGGCTCCTGACCAATTCCTTCTAATTTGCCCTTGTCTTCTGTGACAGGGGTGCTTGCATAACAAAGACCAAACAATCAAATATAGTGAGTCACCAGCCTTTGCGTATGCCCTGAAGCAGATTGGAGGCCGGGAGTGGACACTGTCATACACATGGGAGAGGGATCTCTGGGTTCCTAAGGTGAGCCATGTTTTCTCTGGTAATGGCTGAAAGAATCTTCCCTTGAGTGAGTTAGCACTGTGTTTCACTAGTGACTGTAAAAATCAGTTCCAAAAACAAATGACTGAATCCTGACATGATTTTTGTACTTTTCGTAAACAAATAGAATCCACCCAGACTTCAGCAGTAACTCTCCTAGGACCTAAAGATGTGAACTTGATTCATCTGTCTCCCCTTGTTGAGCGTTAACAGCATCAGACAGGGAAAGACCAAGTGTACATGGCCATCATGGTGAGGTCTCCTGGAATGGACCTACAGACGTGTCCTAAAGCTCTCTGGCCATCAACACCCAACATCTCACATTCCACGCTCTTTTGGTGTCGTGGGGCAGCAGGATGCCTTTCATCGCCATGGCTCTGCAGGGCCAGGTTTCATTGGTTGGTGCTCATTTCCCTCTACACCGTCATTCACCTTTCCTGAGGGCCCGCGCCCTAACAACCCAGGAGCCCCTACCAGGTCATGGGTGAGCTGCTGGATGAACTGAAGGGTCCTGAGGAGCAGCGTGGCTCCACAGACACTCTCCTCTGCGTCCTTTCTGCAGTGGGCGCAGATGATGCTCTGTTCTGCTTCTGCTCGTGCAGGCCGGAGGTACCCACTGATGCTCAAGCCTTGCACTCCCAGGCGCTCTGCTGACTCCTGACGGGTGCAGAGAAACTTCACCATCAAGTACTGGAAGGGACAAGAGAGAATTCAAGTAGACTCAGAATCCCTGGATCCTGACAGAAGGGAGAAAAAGACCTCTCTGGGAAGGTCTCCCTGTGCTTTTAATTGTTATTATGTGCCACTATGCCCGGCACTGAGGACACAATATAAGTCCAGTATCTACTCTAAGCTGAAAAAAGGCGATACAAATACTGAATGCAGTCGAGTCTTCATGAAATTCACAGTAATGAAATGGCATCATTACTTCCTCTTCAAGGCAAAAACAGGATAAGAGAGAATAAGAGAAGTACATTTGCTCTGCAGTGTAGTCATTTTGAAACAAAAATCAGATATATGATGAAACCAGTGAAAGCCTTAAGCAATCATCCCAAAGCCCCCAACTGAATATGGAACCCATGAGCTGGGAACTCAGAAAACACTTGTCTGTTAAAAGCTAAAGCCATTCTCAAAGCCCAACTTCAGTGCAAGCTGTTTCTTACAGTGAAAGTTCCTTCTGTTAAAGGTCTTTTAGGACCAGGCGTGCATGCCTGAGAGGAGAGTGGAGGAGAAGAGATGTGGTCATTCCCCCAGAAGGGTGATTCCCCATCCCTGCAAGTGACACCCCCTACAGTAAAAAGTTAAAATGAGTAAATAAAATAAAGGCCTTTCAGAATCTACTACTCAATGGCATAAATATTTATGGAGTACCTACTATGTATAAGTCCTAGAGATAGTTCTTAATTTTCTTATTTATGCCTACGTCTAAGATTTACACCTGAGGTTTACAAGATACGGGCTTTTTCTTTCCTAGCTATGGAAACATCTCTCTTGCATATATGCCTGTGCACCTGCTGTTCTCTCAGCCCGAGATGCCCTTCTCCACACTTCATAGCCTGGCTAAGGACGATGGATGATTTAATCAGCTTCCAACATTTAGTATCACAGCATTTTTCCTGGGAAGCCTACTCTCGTAAATCGCAGGTCAGATGAAGCACTCTTCCTCTGGGCTTCAACACCCTAGATCTCCCGTTATCACAGTCCTTATCGCACAGTCTTACACAACTCTCTCCCACTACACTAAGAGCTCCTTCATGGTTGGTTCAGCTCCGGGGTTCCAGTGTGGGCACAGGGCTGGTACACATCACCACTCAGTAAACACTTACAGAATACCAGGAGGGGAGTGAGCAAACATGGAAGGCCATAACCCACTAATGCTTACTTTGGCAACTCTGCACTGCTGCAGCTTGACATCGGCTTCATCCCACTCTTCTTCCAGTTCAAACCAGACAATAGGATCATCCTCTCCAAGGTCATCAGATGAGCAACCAATCCTGTGAACAAGAGTAATCCCCAAACATCTTCCTATTACCAAATTTAACTGTTAAGCTTTTTAAAACTCTAACAAATCATCTAAGTAACTTGTATATGAGTATTTGTATATATATATATTTAACCTGGATAGCTACAGTTTGTCAATTAGCAATTAAGGACCAGGTGGGTAAGCTGGTACCTCTCTGCGCACAAGAGGCGGCTGGTAATAATTTCCTCATTGCTCAGCTTCCTCATCTTCTATCAGTTAGGAACTACTGGGTTGTGGGAAAAGTTATGATGTATTTTTTCTATGTTTTTCCATGCAAAAATGAGTCATGCCTTTTTTTTTTTTGGAAAGATTTTTTGCTATAGGGTGCATGTGCTTGCTGGAGAGACAGAGACAGACAGAAAGTGAGAAATCACCCCCCAGTGGAGATGGCTATGCCACAATCCTTTCTCCGTTATTCTCCTGGGATCTTGGGCACACATGCGCATATACCCAGCATAAGTTTGAAGCCACCGGGTCTGGGACTAGAACCATGGTTGGCCGTGTGAGAGACCAGTGACCAGTGATGCAACCGCTATGCCATTTCCTGGTCTTGAGTCATGACTTTTCTGACAACCAGTATATCAGCCTCAGATATAATCAGGGAACTAAGGAGAAAATTTGCTTCTCTCCCTAATTATCTCATCTATAGAACGAGACGCGAAGTCAGGCACCTTACATGACATGCTAAGGAATGTGCTTGTGGGAAGAACCAAAGGAAGGGCAGGTGCCATTGTCTTTCCCTGGGTTTGGCTAATGTGTATATGACCAGCCTAAGGTCTCAGCCACTTGCTACAACTGAAGGATAAAAGGGGTGGGTGAGGTTTTCAGATCCTAGAACTCCAAAACCAAAAACCTCAGCCTTCATAGACCTGTTCTCTTTCCTGTTCCTTAAAGTATTTTCAGAAAAGCATTCTAGCCTTGCAAAGTTAAAGCACAACTGTATGCCACTTCTTTTAAAAAACTGGAGGGCCGGCAGGTGGTGTGGTGGTTATGGGCACTGGACTCCCACATGGCCAGTTGCAGTTCGAGTCCTGGACCTGGTGGTTTGCTTTCTCATTTTCCCTCTCTCTCTCACTCTGTCCCTCTCTGGTCAAATTAAAATATAAATAAATTAAATTAAATAATTCTTAAAAAGAAACATACAAAAAAAATGGATACTTGGGACCAGCAGATGGCATAATGGTTACATTGCTAGACTCCCACGTGGTTGACTGGAGTTCAAGACCCAGACCTGAAGGCTTGAAACTCACGCCAGGCATGTTTGCATGCGTGCCCAAAACCCTGAGAGGAGACTAGAGAAAAAGGGACTGTGGTGTGGCCATTTCCCATGGCGGGTGATTTCTCACTTTCTGTCTCTCTGTCTCTCTCTGAAACTCAGTGAGTGCACACACACTGTAGCAAAAAACTCTCTTAAAAAAACCCAAAAAACCAAACTGGATACTCAGGGCCGGCAGATGGCATAGCAGTTAGGTCACTGGACTCCCACATGGCTGACTGTGGTTTGAGTCCAGACCAGTGGCTTAAACTCATGCTGGGCATGTGTACATGCATGCCCAAGATCCCAGGAGGAGAATAGAGAAGGGATTGTGGCATGGCCATCCTCCTTGGGGGATGATTTCTCACTTTCTCTCTGTCTGTCTCTCTCTCTGGTGTATACACATGCCCTAAGGCAAAAACACCTAAAAACAAAAAAATACAAAAAAAAAAAACAAACAAACATATAATCAACCCAGCAACAGGCACCATTGCTCAGCAGACTAAGCTACATGGGAGGACTGGTTTGACGTCTGGCCCACTGTAAAAACAACAACAAAAAGTCTGAGTGCCATAGTGTGTGCCTATATCCCAGTTACTCAGGAGGCTGAGGCAGGAGGACCAGCAGATGGCACAGTGGTTACATCATTTAGGGCCAAGTTTGGTAACAGTGCAACACCCCTGTGAAGGAGCTGGGTATGGTGGCGTGCACCTGTAGTCCCCAACTGCAGGAGGCTGAGACTGTGACACATTCAAGATCCTGTCTAAAACACCACACACACACGCGCGCACACACACACACACACACACACACACACACAGTAGACCCTTAGGCCCTACCACAGTGGTGCAAGTGGAGGGCACTGTTGGTGTTAGCTGAGGCCACATGGGAGGCCTGGGTTCAGTTCCTGACCCAATCTGAACAGGCCAGGTGCAATGGGACATGCCTGTGGTCTTATGTAGCTAGGAGCTGGGGCAGGAGGACCGTGCTATAGATCGTGATCTCTCTCCCCCCTCCGTCCTGCACTTACTTGCTTTCTCTTGCTCTTTCATTTAAAACAAAAACACAAAGATGCTTCTACATCTTTTTTAGGAACTAAGGAGAAAAGAAGAGTCTTGTTTATTTTTTTAGAATTTTCCCAGAGGATGTGTAGGAAGAGGGTGAGCAGAGGGTGGTGGTGAGAAAGCAGCCCTGCTAGGGAATGGTCATGCCACAATCCCACTTCCTCCATTTCTTCTTCCTTCAGGGATTTTTGGGCATACACACAAATGTGCCTGGCGTGTTTTTCAAGGTGGTGGGTTTAGGACTCAAAGTATGCAGTTGGCCATGTAGGATCCAACAGCCTTAATCACCATGCCACCAGCTGGCCCAAAGTAGCATTCCTAGAATTTTATGCAATTCAGTCTGTGACAGAGCCACTAAACTAGCAACACATGAGTATTCCATGTGGCTAAGACAAGCAACCACTTGGAATCATGGTAAGAAGAGGAAAAAAAGCTAGAGAAGTTTCTGAAGCACAGAAAAAAATGTTCTTTATTTTGTTTTCCTTTTAGAGGTTTTTGCTATAGGGTGCATGCGCTCGCCAGAAAGACAGAGAGAGATAGAGAGACAGAAATCGAGAAATCACCCCCCCAGCGGGGATGGCCACGCCACAATCCCTTCTCCTCCATTCTCCTCTTGGGATCTTGGGCACGCACGCTCACGCACCCGGCGTGAGTTTTAAGCCACCGGGTCCGGGACGCGAACTGCGGTC